ATAAATGATCACAGGCGCCTATAATCCTTGGATGTTGATTTACTTTGAGTTATAATATTCTTGCATATAAAGTGCCCTCGTCACATTAATTCTAACAACCATTTACATGCAAATAGAGAATGAAAACAGGATGGTCTGGCAGAGCCGTGAATTCAAATTAAGTATGCTTCTTAGAAGTTTATTATTTGCAATGCGTTTTTCTTAGTAAGTATGATAATGGAATGTATGTGTTTAAATAGAAAAGAATGCTTCTTAAGGGATATTAGAAAGTGCACAGAAAGGGTCATTTAAATTATCCTATAGAAAGGAACACATCTTTTCTTATTCAGTGTATTAATTACTGCCTAAAATAAGAAATGAGCTATTTTCAGTTTTTTTGCTGCTTTTCTGTCCGTTCTGCAGAGAGAAATGGGTTATTCTGTAAAATGATCAGAAATAGACCAGGATATTGCAAACTATAAGCCAGGTGAGTTATGAATTGCCAGGTGAGTTTCCCAACAATTGCCATTTTATTAAATATCGTTGATTTTGCTGAAATATTCCAGAGCTTTGTTTTTGCTGAAGAGTTGACATTGAATTATTGAATCGTATGTATCGGATTTCTCGCAATATGTGTCCATTTCTGACAGTGACTCCCTCCCTCTCCCAGTCACGTGTGGTGTTCCCCAGGGTTCCATTCTCGGCCCCCTACTATTTACATTATTTATAAATGATCTGCCTAATGTCTGCCAATCCTCAAATGTACACATGTACGCAGATGACACGGTAATCTATGCGAGCAAATCCAATCTACCGCAACTTGAGGCTTTGCTCCAAGACCAGTTTACAGAGGTAGAAAAGTGGATCGCAAAAAACAAACTCTTCCTGAACACTGACAAAACTGTCACAATGATCTTTGGAACAGTACCTAAATTACACAAATTACACAATCCCCACCTACCCATCAAAACAAATTCAAATGGCACACTGACCGCAGTCCACTCTTTCAAATACTTGGGTATGATATTAGACCCCAATCCATCTTTTGGCCTGCATATAGAAAAGCTTGCATCTAAACTTTATCCAAAATTAGGTGCCCTGTACAGAAACAAAGCCTGCCTAAGCCCTACAGTAAAGGAAAAGATTGTACAGCAAATGCTGATGCCAATCATTGATTATGGGGATGTAGTATATGCGTCTGCAACGCAATCCCACATTAATAAACTCAACACATTGTATAACTCGTTCTGCCGATTTGTGCTACAATGTAATTACAAGGACCCATCATTGTGACATGCTAAAGGAACTAAACTGGAATCCAGACGCACCCTTCATCTTTCCAGCCTTGTTTTTAAGAGCTTTTCTGGGAAACTCCCACCCTACCTGAACAAAATGCTTTCCCCAGCTGTTCCCACTTTCTATAACCTCCGATCCAGCACCAGCACTTTACTTAGTCTACCTCAATACAAAAAGAAAGCGGCCCGATCCTCCTTCTCCTACAGAGCACCGCAATTGTGGAACGACCTCCCGCACGATTTAAAATCTAAGCCTAAAGTCATTTAAGAGATCCCTCTCTACATACCTCAAAACAGAATGCACGTGTCATGGTTGATTATATATTTCCTGCCTGTTCTATGTAAAATTTTGTATATATTGTTTATTAATATTGTTTTTGTATTTTGTTGTACCTAATGTAACAATGCAATGATTTGTGGACCCAGGACATACTTGAAAACGAGAGAAATCTCAATGTATCTTTCCTGGTAAAATATTTTATAAATAAATAATAAATAAATAAAACTGTCGGTTGCCAAACACGGTCTGACCCAAAGTGCATGTGAATGGGTAGGGATGAGGCTTTCTCAATTTGTTACAAATACTTAATTTAACGATACATACAGTTGCCCTTTAAAGTGGCCATTCAAAAGAAGTCCCATACTCCATTTTTAGCTGTGTTGGAAAATTGTCCCAAATCAGTACTTTTCGTTTGCCTTTTGCAATTCAATTTTCATTTCACTCCAACTAGCAGGTTTATTTACAAAACTCATGATTGTCAGTAATTCAAAGTGAATTTTAAATTTAAGGACAAAATAGTCGAATTCTCCATGTCAACCATTCTTCCAGTTTGGATATTTTAACCTTAAACTTGAAATGTGAATAAACCCTATGTTTCTATTTAGACTTGGGAACGTTCTTCACATTCTATCCATCTCTGCCGTATATTTCCCAATCTGTTCATGCTCTGTATCAGCCGGTATCAGTTCCACATCTGGCTATCTTGCTAACCGCACGCCTGCTCTTTCTGTGATCGCGAATTTCCTGGTTTGAATTCTCAACGAAACATGCAAAGCTATGTCTGGCTGCTAGCTAGTTCCTGGTATTAAATCTCCATATATGTGATCGTGGAACCCGTGGAACATTATCATAAGACATCAAATAAATGACTATGGAGTGACCAAAAATATTCTTTTTTTGTTTTGGGTGAACAAATCGCTCTTGAAGTTCAATTAGAGACAATGTTTTGACGGTGTAGGTCTATCATATAAAACCCACCCACGACTGACAGACATCTTAGATAGGAAAAGGGTGAGGACCAGCCTTATTAAAAAACTTTTATCTTTAACTCAGCATAATTAGACGTGTGTCAGCCGCTGCTCTTTGGAATAACACGCATTTCCCACAATTAGTTTCAAGATCTAATGTCCTGTTTACACTTCGAGGTTGGACAAGTCTCCCCAGTGCTCACCCACCAGTGAAAGACTTATATTCCCACAGCTGTGACAACAAACAAACAAAACGACATTCAGATTCTCATCTGACCAATTAAGTCATATAGAGAGACCTGCGAGTTTTACTCAGTATAGCGGGAACTGTGGAAATCTGACCCCCTATCAAAAATAAATGGACAATTTTCCCAATGCTATAATATTTATTTATCTATAATTCTTGTGTAAATTATCCATGATTTGTGATTTGGTGAATTAAACTCTGACTGGTGGTCATTCAGTTTCCTACATATTCTATATTAAAGGGACACTCCCTACCCAAATAAAGAAAAAAATCAAATGACAAAGATATATCCTCAATGAAAACATGCATATATTTAATTATCCAATTTTCATTAGGTTATAATTAAAAACAGCCTGTAAAATCTGCAATCTGCTTACACAGGTGGGGCACCAGCATGACAGTTGCCTGGCATCGTCATCAGTCAGATTGATAATGACCCCAAACCGGGTGCCGTTGATAATGACCGCGGTCTGGGTGTTGGTAATAAAAAACACGATCTTGGCGTTGCTAATAAAAAACGCGGTCTGGGCGTTGCTGATAATGACCGCGGTGGTCCGGCGTGGCTGATAATGACCGCGGTGGTCCGGCCGTTGCTGATAATGACTGCGGTGGTCCGGCGTGGCTGATAATGACCGCGGTGGTCCGGCGTGGCTGATAATGACCGCGGTGGTCCGGCGTGGCTGATAATGACCGCGGTGGTTCGGCGTGGCTGATAATGACTGCGGTGGTCCAGGCGTGGCTGATAATGACCGCGGTGGTTCGGCGTGGCTGATAATGACCGCGGTGGTCCGGCCGTTGCTGATAATGATCGCGGTGGTCCGGGCGTGGCTGATCATGACCGCGGTGGTCCGGGCGTGGCTGATAATGACCGCGGTGGTCCGGGCGTTGCTCATAATAACCGCGGTGGTCCGGCGTTGCTGATAATGACCGCGGTGGTCCGGGCGTGGCTGATAATGACCGCGGTGGTCCGGGCGTTGCTGATAATGACCGCGGTGGTCCGGCGTTGCTGATAATGACCGCGGTGGTCCAGGCGTTGCTGATAATGACCGCGGTGGTCCGGGCGTGGCTGATAATGACCGCGGTGGTCCGGGCGTTGCTGATAATGACCGCGGTGGTCCGGCGTTGCTGATAATGACCGCGGTGGTCTGGGCGTGGTTGATAATGACTGCGGTGGTCCGGGGCGTTGCTGATAATGACCGTGGTGGTTCGTCATTGCTGATAATGACCGCGGTGGTCCGGGCGTTGCTGATAATGACCGCGGTGGTCCGGGCGTGGCTGATAATGACCGCGGTGGTCCGGCGTGGCTGATAATGACCGCGGTGGTCCGGGCGTGGCTGATAATGACCGCGGTGGTCCGGGCGTGGCTGATAATGACCGCGGTGGTCCGGCGTTGCTGATAATGACCGCGGTGGTCTGGGCGTGGCTGATAATGACTGCGGTGGTCCGGGCGTTGCTGATAATGACCGTGGTGGTTCGTCATTGCTGATAATGACCGCGGTGGTCCGGGCGTTGCTGATAATGACCGCGGTGGTCCGGGCGTGGCTGATAATGACCGCGGTGGTCCGGCGTGGCTGATAATGACCGCGGTGGTCCGGGCGTTGCTGATAATGACCGCGGTGGTCCGGGAGTGGCTGATAATGACCGCGGTGGTTCGTCATTGCTGATAATGACCGCGGTGGTCCGGGCGTTGCTGATAATGGTGGCTGTCATGCGTTGATTGTTAACGTGCGCAGTGGGAGGAGCCTTTAGTGCCCAGAACACACCGTGTCACACATTTATAGTTTTACATGTAAGAGATACACACAGCTTAGTTTGATGAGTTAGTCATTTTTTTATTAATAATTGAGTGATCAATAAATAATATTCACTTTGTATAATAAATATAGGAAAGACTAAGGAGCGGCTCTGCGCATGCGTACAATAGGCCACGCCCACATACACGCCCACTCCCGCCCATTTGTTATTGTCAGTCTCTAGGGAGGGCACTATACTCGGGGGGAGGAGCTGCAGCGAGGGTGGGCGTGTCCATGGGCGTGTCCGTGGCCTCAGTTCTGAATTACTCACTATGTAGATCTTCTCAACCTGCAGTAGCGCCGCAGCTCATGGGGCGTGTTTTTACATTTCACTGGGCGTGGTCAGTCAGATTATGGGCCGTTCCTCGATCTCCGATTGGTTGAGCCGGGGAGCCGCAGCGCGGAGGGGGTGTGGGCGTGGCGGAGGGGCGTACCGGTGGGCGTGGTCGCTAGCTTGTCGTTTCCGGTCGGGGCTGGTCGGCTCAGTTCGGTTGAGTTCGCCGAGGGGAGAGGAGCTGAGCAGCGATGGGGGGAGTGACCGCTCTGTGTGCGCTGATAGCCGGGGTCATAGTGCCCAGCCTGGCCGGGTACATCGAGGTGAGCATCATGGGAAATGTAGTCCTGTCCAGTTAGAGTGCCAGGTGTCCCCTATACAGCCTGCTAATGGAAATTAATCCTTTATATCCATATACATACCGACATTAACCCTTTATATATATATTAACCCTTTCCCACCTGGGTTGCCATCAGCCCCCCTTTTCCACCTGGGTTGCCATCAGCCCCCCCTTTTCCACCTGGGTTTGCCATCATCCCCCTTTCCACTGGGTTGCCATCAGCCCCCTCCCCTTTCCCACATGGGTGCCATCAGCCCCACTCCCTTTTCCACCTGGGTTGCCATCAGCCCCCCCTTTCCCACCTGGGTTGCCATCAGCCCCCTTTCCCACCTGGGTTGCCAGCAGCCCCCTTTCCCACCTGGGTTGCCATCAGCCCCTTTCCCCACCTGGAGTTTGCCATCAGCCCCCCCCCCTTTCCCACCTGGGTGCCATCAGCCCCCTTCCCCACCTGGGTGCCATCAGCCCCCCCCCCTTTCCCACCTGGGTGCCACCAGCCCCCCCTTTCCCACCTGGGTGCCATCAGCACCCCCCTTCCCACCTGGGTTTGCCATCAGCACCCCCCCCTTTCCCCACCTGGGTGCCATCAGCACCCCCCCCTTTCCCACCTAGGTTGCCATGTCAGCACCCCCCTTTCCCCACCCTGGGTTGCCATCAGCACCCCTTTCCCACCTGAGTTTGCCATCAGCCTTTCCCACCTGGGTGCCATCAGCCCCCCTTTCCCACCTGGGTTTGCCATCAGCCCCCCCTTTCCCCACCTGGGTTGCTGTCTGGCCCCTTTTCCCACCTGGAGTTTGCCATCAGCCCCCTTTTCCCACCTGGGTTGCCATCAGCCCCCCCTTTAACCTGGGTTGCCATCAGCCCCACTTTTCCACCTGGGTTGCCATCAGCCCCTTGCCTCCCACCTGGGTTTACATCCAGCCCCCACCTGTAAGGTTTGTATTGCCCCACCTGGGTTGCCATCAGCCCCCCTTTTCCCACCTGGGTTGCCATCAGCCCCCTTTCCCACCTGGGGTTGCCATCGAGCCCCCCCCTTTCCACCTTGCCATATATACCCCAAATTACATTTCTTTTGCCCCCACTGTTATAATGTGAATTACTGTATGGGGCATATATACCCCAAATTACATTTCTTTTGCCCCCACTGTTATAATGTGAATTACTGTATGGGGCATATTACCTCTCTGTTGCCCTCCTTACTGTTACCATGTAAAATGTTGTTTAAGGTATTATTTGGGGTATTCATGCACTAATATCCATTTCTGTGTAAGGTGGTATGTTTGGCATTGTGCCCTCTGTGGGGTAAACCTATTGCCCTCAAGGTTTTGTTTTTTTTGTGTGATGTGGTCTTTGTATGTTTTATGCCCCCAGTTGCTATCACAGCTCCACCATATTTAGAAAATTCAGGAGGTCAAATCGCCTCATTTGGCTGGAATCAGGGTTCGCCCCATATGCCGCCGTTTGAATCAATTCTGACAGATTTAACCCTTTTAATGATGGATTTTGACTGAGGATATTGCTTCCTTGCAGGGGAAGGGTTAACGCTTCCCTTATTGTCTCAGGATATCCTGAAATCCCTCTCCACCCTGCCTGTTTGGGATGGGATATTCTTTAACCCTTTGTGGTCATGTCCTGGGATGATTGGCAGCGAAACAGCAACTGTGGCTTATCTTTTTGGTTACGTTGTTGTTGTTAGAAATAAGGTGACGGTATGCGGATTGAATCATTATTTACCAGAGGCGTTCACTGGTTTTGGGCAACATAACGCTCTGATTTTTAACCTTGACAAACCAGGTGTTAGTGAACTGCTGGACGCATGTCTCTTTTCAGCTATTTAACCATGTAATCTACATATCCCATGATGCTCAGCTACCAGATTGGCAGAGCATTATGGTAAATATAGTTGTTAAACATCTGGAGAGTCACAGAGGTATAGGGTTAAATTTTTAAGTGGGTCCTTATACACTGCCTTCAGTGTCAAGCAGGCTGTTATCAATGCAAAGCAGAGGGTGAAAGAATAGATATGTAAATGGGTTATTTACCTGTGCGTGGTATGGCTGTGCTGTGGGGCGGATCACTGACTACAGACATTTATTTTTTTTTAAATTTTTTTTTATTAACTCGTTCAGTGGTTGAAGAATTACATTATAATTTAGCCTGTGGAAAGTCCCACATGTTGAGTAATGATTGAGGTTTGGTTTGATACAAAAAAACAAACTGTCCTCTGGACTGCAACACCCATCAGCCTCGGATAGTATCTGTTGTTATGGGGAATGCAGTGCAGCAGGATAGCCGCAGCTCGCCCATCCCTGTAGGTGAGCATAATGCGCAGATAGTCTATTTCTGTCTGTGTCCCATAGGCTTGCCATCAGCCTCTTTCCCCTACAGATTACGGACTGCCTGCAGCTACGCGGGTGGTTATTAACCCTTCCTCTGCTGGGAGATCAGCTTTGTGCGCAGGTCCCATGAAACCTATTAGGATATTTAAAACGCTCCATCCAGGTGTGGCCGTCATAAAGATGAATAGAGAGATGGCATAAAATCTGGGTCACCGTCATTCCCATAGGAATGCGTCTGTTTTTCTTCCCTGATAACCAGCAAGACTTTGCCTTGCTAGAATTGCTTTTAACCCTTTGTGTTGGGGAGTGGGGTATAATCTTGTGGTAACATTGTGCCTAATGTAACCAACACCTTGTACAGTAATCTGTTAAAATATTCACTGATACGTTGTCCCTGCACATACATCTCCAATCCGCCTGTTAATGAGTCACTGCTGCATGGTGGGGGGGATGCTGAATTCATCCTGCTTTGAGACACAGCCATGAAACTAAATCCATTTTAGCTATCCTCTATCTAATTGTCAGATTTCAGGCTTGGAATACCATCGGCAAACGCAGTGGAACCTTATACTTGCTGAGCAAACAATCTTTTTTTTTTTTTGGTACGCCAATACAGAATGCGCCCAAGGTCGTACAGGACAGTCACCCGCTTTCAGCTGCTCTCCCACTACGGATGTTCAAAAAAAAGTTATCTATTTTTTCCACTTCCATTTTGCTTTAGTAAATAGAGTATTTTTTATTTTGTACACTTTGAATCCCTCTGGCGTCTCATCACACTGGGAATCTGATTGTTCCCACACCTGCCTTTGGAGAACAGGGGGCTGACCCATTCCGAGCATTCCCCCTGTAAAGATCCCACCTCTGCATTTTTGTCATGCCACATCTGCTTGTAAACCTGTTTATATTCTGAGCAGGCCAACTGGTTAGCAGAGCAGAAGGGTCTGTCTGTTTTCTCGAGTGGCACTACCCTATTAGTCATCTCTCGCTAACACCTTGTGGCTTTCTTTAACCGCTGCGGTCTGCACATTGAGATTATCTGCTTGGTGCAGGGGGTGCCCTGTTATTTTGACGGTATCCAAAAAATTGCTGGATATTTTCACTCCATGCTGCTTGGTGGCATTATTGCCTCTTAGATTAATCACATGTATCGGTTGCCGTTTAATTAATTGTAGTAGCAAATGAAACATTGATCCCACCCCTGACATCCGAGTAAATATAGGCAGAAATAGGACTTAGAGAATTTTTCAAAGTTTGATTTTCTGGCCTATGAATTGTAGTTGCCTTTGATAATTCTCCCCAAACTCCAGGTTTAAGGGTTAAGCCCCATCTCTTCTCTCTACAACTGAGTCGCTGCAGTGGAAGGCCATTCAGCATTTAAGTCAAAGTAGCAGAAATCACTTGAGTTCGATTTTATTTTTTTTGTTTGTTCCCTCCGCTTGTTATTTTGGACCAGATGTCTGATTACCAGCTCGGTGTTTAGTTAATAAACCTGTCTTGGATTTTACATTCAGAGCCATAAAACAATACCATTTATACATACTAAGTAACCATCAATACAGACCTGGTCGGAAAATGGGGAAATGAAAAGATCATGGCACAATTATTTTATTTACATAGCGCCATCAGATTCCGTAGCGCTGTACAATGGGTGGACTAACAGAAATTGTAATCCGACAACTGGACATACAGGAACAGAGAGGTGGAGGGCCCTGCTCAATGAGATTACATTCTAGAGGGATCAATTTATTCAAACTATCCACATAATTAAGGGGTAAAATAAACACTCTCAAATATCCATGCACATAAATCAAACCTAAGTGCAAAGAGCGTATTTAACCCGGAATAGGCCAAAAAATTGGTCCACCTGATGCAGCCAGGAATGGAGTCTTCAGATCCGATTATCAATTATTCCAATTGCGTGGGGGTGTAATGATGTTTTTGTGAAAGGCAATTGTTGCACATTTTAGGTATGAAGATTTTATCATGTATGTCTTCCTCCTCCTTTTATGTTTGATTTGAATACATTTATTGTGCCATGACCCTTCCCATTTAATGTCCTTATTGATGGTCCCTCGGTATGCTTTTCATTTTATTACTGGAATTTGACACAATTGCATATGTTTTGTTGTGAAGCAGGTACAGTTCTACCCGGAGTCCAGGAAGAGTTCTCAATGCGTCAAGTCTGTTCTCTTCCCATTTGTTAAATTCCAAAATGGTCGAAAAAATGTTGGATATTGTTTTGTTAAATTCCGTTATCTTTCACATTTTATCCATTTCAGAAAAGACCACCAAAACTTAGTGGCAGAAAATAGCTGAAATAGAAAATGCTTCTGACCTCTCATAATTATTAAAGTGAGAGATTTGGGTGCAATATATGCAGAAATCAAAGATTAATTTTCACCAAAATAGAGCACAAAGTGCTACTATGTAGTATGTGGTATTCATATGATGCAGGATGTAAACCAAGTAATTCCTTAGGAATACACACTTTTCATGCATTGCCCATCACAAAGTAAAATCTCCAGGAAAACATTTCATCTGGTAAACTTAGATCCACAACAAGATAATATGATCGTGCTGCTGGGCTAAGGTTTTACATTATTTTTGTGACCGTTTGTATCCGTGTGAAGGTCACTGGTACATGGTGTGTGATAGAGATCAGTCTCGGAGCAGTATTTAGTATGCGCGGTGCAGCCCTATGAAATTAGCTTCCCACAGGGGAGGGGGTGATGGGAGTGCTGTGCACACAGCTGTGTCTCCGTGGGCTAAGTGATTAGTTGGTGGCGATCATGATATTGATAAAACATAGACAGCTGTCATTGCAAACATTAAACGACGTGGATCTATAGCTTACAGCACCCATTCTCCCAATATCTGATTTACTGGCCTTCACGCCATTTGTCTATCTTTCACAGAAGGTCTGAAAGTCGTGTCCCCCCAGATTAATAGAATGTATGCCTCTAAAAAAAAAAAAAAAAAAAGGGGGGGTTGAATCTTACAAAGTGGCACTATTAAATGTCCCCTCAGTAAAAGTCTTTGTACTGAGGGGTATTTCCTTTCTCAGTGTTCTTATTTAAGAGGTTGTAGCAGATTGCGTGGCTCTGAGGACGAGTATATACCTTTTTATTATAAATTGTCTGATTGTCCTGTAGGCCCAATGATTCAAACCTCTGAATAAATTAAATTACTGTCTGATTGGTAATCTATAAAATCATTTGAGCACTTTTTTCTCCACGTCGTTAGAACAATATAGTGCTGTTCAGGAGTCTTTGGTATGTATCCTCTTCTGTAACCTGCCCTTTATGTTAAAAAAAAAAAATTAAAATAAACCCACTCTTCACATACAGCAAACTACAAACCTCAGTGTATAGTAAGCCTACTTACTGTACATATTAAACCTCAGTAGTAAGGCCTGGGGAGATTACTTACTGTACATATTAAACCTCAGTAGTAAGGCCTGGGGAGATTACTTACTGTACATATTAAACCTCAGTAGTAAGGCCTGGGGAGATTACTTACTGTACATATTAAACCTCAGTAGTAAGGCCTGGGGAGATTACTTACTGTACATATTAAACCTCAGTAGTAAGGCCTGGGGAGATTACTTACTGTACATATTAAACCTCAGTAGTAAGGCCTGGGGAGATTACTTACTGTACATATTAAACCTCAGTAGTAAGGCCTGGGGAGATTACTTACTGTACATATTAAACCTCAGTAGTAAGGCCTGGGGAGATTACTTACTGTACATATTAAATCTCTATAGAGGATTAGCTACTCTTATTCTGTTGGGTTCTGGTTTCCAGGAGTGGTGTCGCTGGCCCTTTAAGACAGCAAGAAAAATTCCCAGGCACTCAAAGTGTGAAAGCCGCAGGGGCCCTTTAACCCCTTAAGGACACATGATGGAAATATTCTGTCATGATTCCCTTTTATTCCATAAGTTGTGTCCTTAAGGGGTTAAGAGTCTATGTTCTGTTGGGTGAGTCCTGAGCGGTCTGTGTAATGCTTCTTGGCAAAGCAAACCCTTTCTGAGGCCTACCGAGCGAGAGAATCCAGCCGTTGCTGTACTGCCATGCGGATGAGGCTTAGGAAATCCTGGCCTCTGGGACCGCAGTGACTGGGGATCAGATTCCACCTCGGTCACTTCACTCATTGCGTTTCCTGTACACCTGTTACATATCCGGAATCCATATCACAGGCCTCCTTGTCAATAGTCTGTTCTAATCTGCTGGTATCCCTGAACATGCGGAGTGCTACTGTGTATAGAGCGCAAAGGATTCTACCCTAAAAGGCGGGGGCACGTTGGCGTCTACAATGCCAACTGTGTACAGTGCGTGTAATTACTCAGCCTGCTTCACTCCTTTGCAACAAGCAGATACTCTCTAAGCACCAAAACCACTTCATCTTCATTTTGGAGTAGTTTGGTGCATTTGGCAATGTAAAACATTACTGTTCCTGGGAAATGCTAATGTTTACCTTTTTTCCTAAATCGCCACCCCTCCGCTAGAGACGTTTCCCCCATGAACACCTTCAATTTTTGTACACTATTTTCACACGTGGCATAATGACACCAGACATGTCCAATGCTACGCATGAATTGGCATTTCAATCCAGTTTAGTCCTGGCAAATTTCTTCTTTTCTCCTCCTCTGTCTGCTCGCTCTATACTGCCTACCAGGTGCAAAGGACAGAGCCAAGATGGAGGTGCCCAGGACAATTGCAATTAGTATAGCGCCAACATATTCTGCAGCTCTGTACAATAGGAATCAAGACAAATACTGTAACACTATAGTCACCCAAAAACTTTGGCTTAATGAAGCAGTTTTGGTGTATAGATTATCCCTCTGCAGTCTCACTGCTCAATTCTATCATTTAGGCCGGTGAGAGAGTTCTTTGGGCTAATGCATCATCAGTAGAATCTGTTCAACCTTTGGGTTGTAGTTTCAAATTCCGGCAGGGTTGACTCAGCCCTTTATCCTTCCAAGGTAGATAAAATGAGTGCCATTAAATTGGGTTATAGGAACAACCCCTGGATGTTGGGCTAAGGTAACATGCCCAGGACGTACTTGAAAACCAGAGTAATCTGAATGTACCTTTCCTGGAATAATAATAATAATAAAAATAATAATAATAATAAATTTGTTTATGCAGTCCTAGTCACACCTTCCTGCATGTGACTTGCATAGCCTTCTTAAACACTTCCTGTAAAGTCATGTAATGTTTACACTTCCTTTGTTGCAAATTCTGTTTTAATTTAGAATTGCTCATCCCCTGGTCTGTTAAAAGCTTGCTAGACCCTGCAGCAGCCTCGTGTATGATTAAAGTTCAATTTACAGATCAATATAACCTTTTTAAAGTAAGTTACATCTGATTGAAAATGAAACCATTTTGCTTTCATGCAGGCTGTGTCAGTCACAGCCAGGGGAGGCATGGCTAGGCTGAGTAAACAGAAACAAAGAATTGAGCAGTGAGATTGCATGGACATTATTTATTGACAAAAACCGCTTCATTAAGCTAAAGTTGTTTTGGTGACTATAGTGTCCCTTTAAACTCTGTGAAAGCCAGGAAGTGCCTCTAGTGGCTCTTAATCCAGCAATGTTTTACATTGCAGGATTAAGGAGTCGTTGCACTCAGACCACTTCATTAAAGATTTAGTGGTCTCGGTACCTATAGTGTCCCTTTAATTTTAACAACCTGTATGATGATTGGGAACAGTAGCAGGGCTATTTACTACAGTGAGAATTCATAGTGCATTTCAGATTGAAGGCCAGAGATTTTTAAATGACTTGGAGAAGTTTTCTATTTCAATTATTTTGACCTTAAATTTGAAATTCACTTTGAAAACCCCTGTGAGTGAAGAAGGCCCTGCCTAATCCTTACAATATAACGTTTAATACTGCAGCAGGTCCTGTTACAGAGGCTGATTGTCCCTGATTTAATCTGCATTGTCACAGAGCACACCTTGTCACTTACCTGATAACACAGATTAGTGCTGCTCTCCCTTTAAGCAGGACAATGGCTGAGTCAATGCCGCTTCCTGTCTGTCCAATTGCTATTCTAATAGGCTCCTTCCTGTTCATTGTTCTGCTAAATGAGAGCTGTTATGGCTGCATTTAATTAGTTTTTTAAATATTCTGCAGACTCAAAAATAAAATTACTTAAAAAAAAAAACCAAAAAAAAAAAAACCCAAACAAAAAGCCCATGCGTTAGCCGCACACCTAGTTACAAACTGCTACATTTCTCAGAAAGCTCTATATTTGGGTCGCTGCTTCCTATAACCAAGCTCGTCTCCTTTTATTGGTTTTTCTTGTAATTGCAAACTGTTACAGACCCGGGCAGCACAGGTACACCCCTCCGCTCACCCACCACACACTGAGTAGGAGATCCAGGTGGCTTCTATTGATCTGGTATGTTGCTGCATAATAAATAATGATAGTGTTGAGTGGCCCGCGCCTGGCCTGGGAGGTGTCTTTTGCCTTTAATCCTATTTTATTAAGTGAGATGTGTTGTATTTGGCCCATGGCACCCGTCCCATAAGGGTTTGTATTGGTGCACCTGTCTGAATACAATACCTGCATCCGTCATCATTCATGGATGGAACCCCCCCCAGGACAAAGCTTTTCAAAGTATGTTATATATACTCTGTACTGGCTGCAAACAATATCCCAGTCCCTGTGTCCTGACTGCACCATGTGAGCATGCTCATACCACTTAACCCTTTTCCTGCCAGTGAGGTGCGAATCCTTTGATCTGCACACTCACGTGGCTCTCTGTGGTTTTGTGGAAGTAATGAAGTCATCGTCTCCTTTGTGATGAGGGACTTCTAAGGGCGCAGGGTGTTTGAAGTCGGTACAATTGTTCAGTTCATGAAGCAGAGAAAGCTAATAGATCTGAAAATGTCTGTTTTGTTATAATGGCAGTCTGTGAAGTGATGGGGGGTGAGACCTGGTTGTCTTCATGACGACACATGATCTACTTTGGGATGTCGGATAGAACTTTTGTAATACATTTCCTTTTCCCAAAGTTTCAGTAGTGGTGTGCTCAGCTCTTTCATTTTTTTCCCCCTCTTAATCTCCAAACATTATATAAATCTTACTCCTCCCCCAGTAACAAAAGTGAGTTTTTGAAACGTATTCATTGATTTGATTCCGAACATGTGACAGGCTGCAGGTTTACTAACATTACCTTGTAACACAAAATGGATAAAGTAAACAGAGTGCAGGTCAGGAGTCCGGATACAAGTCAAGGGCCCATGAGCTGCACCACTGTAACCACCTAATAGGGAGCTCCAATGAGGGGGTAACCCTCCAAAATATGTAGGTAATAGGAGTAGATGATGTGGAGAGTCCCACAAGGGGAAGCCAACAGCAGGAGAGCTCCACTGTATAAGAAATTAGGAAGGGATGCCCTACTTTTAATCTATCTAAGGATAAAAAGGGATATGCAATCAAAAAGTATAACTTGGAAAAAAAGGGAGATCTACTAAACAGTGCCCAGGGGCTCAATTGTCTGGAGTGCTAGCTAGCATCTAAGTTCCAGTTCCCCTAGTGTCCGACTGACAGGAAGGTAGTGTAAACGAGGTTCCTGATGATGGCGTTTTGAACACGCCGAAACGTGCGTCAAGCTTTTTCTTTAATCTCTGCACTTGGTAGCCCTTTTTATTTTTGTTACCACTATGGTTATTGATTTTTAGGTGTTTCTAACTTTAGTAGGGAGAGTTGGTTCAGTTAGACACTAGTGGTTAGACCACGGTGTCGAGGTAACGTTTTGGGTGAATTGAGAGATTTATTTTTTAAATTATTTATTTATTTTTTGTGTGAGGCTTTTCATCTGTGTTTAGACCGGATTACCCGGTCCCTTGTTCTCTGGGGACCCTGTGCCTCTTCTCTCTCCCTAACCTCGTTTACACTATCTTCCCGTCAGTCGGACAGATTGAAGAGAAAGAGCTATTTTTACAGACTTGCACATAAAACACTGAACAGTAACGAGCCCCGCTCAACAGCTGTGTTAATTTTACAAGTCCCGGACAACAAATATTTAGGCAGGAGTTTATCATGGGATGGACTTGTACAAATGGCTAAATTAGTATTCAGATTTGGAAAAGGAATGTTAGAAGGATTACTGGAAACAGTATTATCACCGAAGCATTCTGTATGGTGTCATAATGTATCAACAGGTGGAAACCATGTGGTTTATTCAACAGTGAACTGAAAATAAAAATGCAAGGTTAAGGTCAAAATACTGCCCTGGAAAAATCCCCCATGGTCACGTCTGTTATTTTGTAACAATTTTTTATTCAACCGTCTTGTGAATAAATCCCAATTTTAGAAATGTGCCACTATTGTGCTACTGGGACTCTTTGATACTGGAAAAAGTGAAATGTAGACTCCAGTTGGTTAAGTACTACAATTCCCACAATGCCTTGCCAGCCTTAAGGCTGACAGAGCATTAAGGGCGTGGTAGGCAAGGTCCAGCTGGTGATCCATTGTTTAGTATGAACTCCCCGGGGCAGTCCATAGAACGAAAGTACAGGTAATGTTAGTAATAGGATAGACGACGGCCTATTGTACGGGCATTTCCAGACTGTGCAGCCTTCGGTTACCTGCCGCATGTTTGAGAATGTGTTCTCCTGTCAGGGCTGCGTTTTGTGAGCTATCTGTGGCATGCGGAATTTAAGGATTGCATCTTACAGCAGTTTGTGTAGTCTCGCTGACCTCTCTCGCTGAGTATTGGGAAGGTCAGGCGCACCCTCGCCATCACGAAGACTGATAATATTGTAAATAACAGCCTTGGGGTGTTGGCTAAATTACCAGATGTCTGCGTGCTCACTTTTCTGTTCTTGCACTTTTCAAATGTCTCTTTCCTTCGGTATTGATTTAATCACTCCACTCCTGCTGTAAAATAAATTTACTTTTTTTTTTTTTAATTATGTTCTAAGTTTGTGTGGCAAACCTTGTTGTAATGCTGACCTTATCGTGATTAAATCTTTATGGGATCTTATCGTGACCATTTCTTATCCAGAGATGGCATGTTGTAATTTCAAACTTTAATGTTATTGATTAAAGGAATTTTACAATGCAGTTTGAGATCTTTTAACAAGTTACTTTTCAGGTCCGTACATTGAATCTGATGTCCTGTGCGTATTGACTTGGAGATGGTCCGGGCTCTTGTAATATTATGTTATGGTGATATTACCCCAAACCTGTGTAGTTTTTAAATGGCCGCTACAGAAGGTGGTATCACCAAAATGTGAAATGGCTTATTGCTGATAATGGGGCGATTTGTGTTGGTGACAGCCAGTCTACGAATGCTTGGGTTGGACAGGGCTCTAGGCTGACAGAGCATCACGGGAGTTGTCCTACAGTAGCTAGGGATCTCTTTTTTTTATTTTTATTTTTAAACCATCCTGCCCCAATCTGTTCCAAAAAGACGAATACTTTTCAGTTTGCAGAGCATACGTGTGTGTGTTCTGCAGATTGTCTGTGTAATCCCATGGTTTATTCACTAAACCTGGATTCTAAGGAATTGAAATTTGAGCAGTAAAATTTTGTCTAAACTTGCGGAGCTGTGACTCTATCTGAATTGGAGAATTTCTGTAAATCTGCTGTTTTGGCCTGAATTTTGCTCTTTCCAGTTCGCTGCAGTTTGATGTTTAGTGAACATGTTTCACATTGCATGTTCTAGCTGGTGCCATGGCCACAGGGATTGCTAATGAGAGCGTTCCTTGCTTTGACAATAGGGTGCGACTTTTATTTTTTGAATTTTATGGTCTGTGCTAACCGCAGGTCAGGACCTGGTCCCGTCCCGCACTGTCTGTCTGTTTTGCAGATGTTATTCCAGAGAGAAAGCTAGCTCAGCCTTTCTTTTCATTTGAGCTAGGCCGTCAGAATACCCTCCTGGCTCTGAATTCCTCCATCCTGTCCACTCAGAGCCTGCGGCTGCGTTGGCTTTTTTTTTTTAATCTAACCCTTACAGTCCCAGAGGAGTGCCTGGTGCATGCTGTCAGGCTTAGGAATAGAGGGCCAGTGAATAAGTGTGAGCAAGGTAGAGATGGCTGATTTATACTATGATCTGTCATATTTATTCTTTACCTTTTTTCTTTCATCACAATATAAAGTCCCCCTTCTAGTCACAATCATGTACCATTGTGTGTGTTTCTTTTCCATCCATGTTTAATGGTGGCTTGGTAAAGTCTCTGGCTCTGCTGGTCCTGTATTTATATCCCTCTTTCTGTCAGTGACATGATGGCATTGCATTGAGTGGCATGCAAAACGGGTGATACAATGTAACATTTGCCCATACAATACTTGTATAGTTACCAGCCATTAAACGAACCCAGTAAACCTCAAATCTCACTCCTAATCGGTCACCGGCTCCTTCCTGGTGTACTGTTGGCAATGCTACATGACTGCTTTTAGGATTATATTTTCGGCACCGTTGTTGGTCTCTTCCTTCCCTCTGTGACTGTAGTTATGACACAGACCATGGGGGTCACCTTGGAGAGTCCGTATAATCTGCACCTGCGCACCGCCACTAATGATCATAAGCAGATTAGGCCTCCTGCAGCCTGTGCTCTTGTACGTCCCAGCGAGGACAAAGTGTTACTAAATTAAAAACTTCCCTTTCTCATTAGAAGCACTGAAGTTCTTGTAGTGAAGTGAAATGATGGCCAACATGCTGACTACCTCCCATCAGTCCCGCCTGGTATTGCATTGGGTATCCATCCGATTCTCACTCATTCTATAATACAATTAGCAGCTGATGCATTTTCAGATCTGCTTGCTACAAGTTTTATGTCTAAAGATCTCTCGATTTCTGGTTACTGTTGAGAACAGATCGCGCACTGCCATGGGACAAATGACTTTAACCCTTGTATTGCCAGAATAAAATTCCTATCTTTCCTTTAGATGGGACTGATCACTGTGACGAGCAATAACTGCTGTAGTATTCGAGCAGCCGCTTGTGCGAAGGGTTATAGTCACATTATTTTGCAATGTGACCGTCCTCCCCCCGAGTACTTGAAACAATTCACTCTCTCAGCATTTTTCATTTCTCAGAAGCAACCTGCCCAAATTTCTCCGAAGTGCTTTTCCCAAGAACAAAGATTGGAACCTGGTCACCCGTCTAAACAGCCCAATTTGCTGAAGACGGTTGAATCATAGATTAGTTAATTTAAAACGATCTCTCCTTGTTAGACACACATAATCTCGCAACAATCTGTAGCTCAACTTGGTCTTCACTGAATCGAATATCCTACTTTTCAGTTCTTTTACCTTCCTGTTACAGATTGTGTTAGGGTCATCTTTATGTAACCGCTAACGGAGTCTATTAGGGAATTAATTTTCATAGTAAGAAGGTTGGCCTTGTGCGTTCTCAGCCCTCACATCTGATGTTTTGTTCAAATTCACTTGATCCTATGTCTTTAATAACTGTCTTTTGTTTTGCTTTATACTGGCAATGTTTTCCTGGATAAATAGGCTATAGATGTGATCTGAGCAATGTGTGTCTCTTCGTGATATATTAGAGCATAATATTATGTTCTCTACACTTGGTGGTAGCAAATGTATGGTCAAATTACTTCTGCTTTAAGGTCTCAAAATAAATCTGTGGCTGATGTGTTCACACAGGACAGACCTTTGAGTCTAAGCAGGTTACTGTATGGATAGTTATATTATCCAGAGACGGAATCTTCAAAACCTGCTCATGGAATGCTACTATAACCTTGAAATTCACACACTTTACGTGTGTATGTATAACAATATGTGGACTATCCACGGACTTCAGGTGGAAGGGGTTTTCAGTCACTTTTTTCCTCTACCATAACTTCATTGGTTTGTACTCAAAGTAACGCCAAGCCTCAATAGCAAGCCAGTAACCAAACTCCTGCTGATGAGTTGCATTAACAACTAAACCGTCCATGAGTGGGTCACTGGCTTTGCATCTCTTCCTGAGTGGTTTTAAAAGCTGCTGTATACAGCAAACACAAACTTCAAGAAATCTGCAAAAATGATTCTTTGTTAAACTAACTTGTGTGTATGTATACCCACCCAGAATCCCTTGCAGTAGTGACATCACTGCAAACTTGCGATTTCTGTATGAAATGGAAGTATTATGGCTTGACTGGTGAGCAGATCTGTGTTTAAAAATTTACTACATATGTATCTTAATGCTGAACAGTAATCCTACTAGCAGCCTGCCCTGCAGAATGAATATAAAGCTTGGATAAGATTTACTTTAGAAAAATCTAATTATCGCTTTTCTGCTTATTTGAAACTTGTTAGACCGGTCTCTCTTACCCGTCGCTGATTTAGAAGTAAACGTTTGTGTACTCACCCCAGTAGACACGGTTGAAGCATTGACTGGGGTGGGCATAATAGGAAATTTTCAGGTCTGTGGTGATGTCATTGATGTGGGATGCTTGCGTTGTACTCACGCGCACTCAGCGCATACTCTGTGAAATGCCATATTGGTTTTATTAATTGCGCTAATGATTATTCTTGACATTTGCTGTGTAATCTAAATGATAATTACAGGTTCATTCTTTAAAGCTAGAATTCAGAGTGTCAAATGTAAGGCCAGAGTAGCCAAACTGATAGCATTGCTAACTTGGAGGACTTTTCCATTTTGGCTAATTTGACCTTAAATTTGAATATACTTTGATTTAGTTTTTAGTGGATAGCTCTGTTAGTATGGAGAGCTGAGAAGGAAAAAAAATCACATTTTAAGATAAAGTAACCAATCCCTTCTCTGCACTCTTGTTTTGGCATACAATTCACTAATCTGTTTTCCACACAATCCAGTTTAGTGAATAAATAAGTTTTCTATGCAGACACTTGAAATTCTAATTTATTAACGAATAGATGGCTTTGATTTGTGGTCTCAGTAACCTGTAACAATCAATCGTACAAGTTTTCATGTTGTAAACGGTGGCCTGCCGCGACTCTGTAATGGATGCTGTGACTGCCACGGATTGATCCCGTGAGGTCCCCCGTCTGTGTCAGTGCGCTGGACTGCTGGTGGAGAGAAAGTGGGAGTGATGAGGACATAGGGACTTATTTGTACGTGCAGTTTTAATTAATTTCACCCATAAATGTTTCAGGCAATCGATTTAATTCAGATCTTCTACTGCAACAGCCATTTTTACGAAAGCACGATGTGGCAGATTATAAATCACCGTACTCTGGGGTTTATTGATTGCGTTACTGAATGTTTGTTTTTATCGGTGGAAATCTGTCGACCAGCATAGGTTAATTTTCTGTTGGAAATCACTCTGTAATTTGCCTACAGTGAGCTGCTATTTTTCCTTTGTCTTTCAATAAAGGTATTAAGTAGTACAGTGTCTTGTCTAGAGAAGTGATATGCTCTCCTTCTTTCACCCCCACTTAACCCGATCTATCCAGTGAATAAAGCAACAGCAAAATGGGGAGGATGCTTGGCTCCATATACATTTAAAATATATATATTTTTTTTCTTTAAATTATCTCCACTTGAACCACACAGCATGCATGGAGTATGGAAGGCGCTGCGTTTTATAACCTGGATTTGCTGCAGTTTAACTCCCGAGGCCTCAGTGTATCTGACTTCATTTTTCATAATCCATATACGCTGTGCAGAATAAAGCCAGAATCATTAAACATTCCCAGACTGTACCTCGATGGCTCCTCATATCGTGACAGCCATCAAAATGGAACCTTCAAGAGAGACACTTGGGAGCCTTTAGGATCTGTAACATTTTTGCTTCCAAGCAATTTTGAATTTAAAAAAAGAATTGTCTGATTTGGCAGGAACATAAAACGCGGTCTTAATTCCCAACATACTTGTTAAAAAGTATGTATTGGAGAATTAAATCTGTCGTCCGCTGCCTTTTGCAACATACTTGGCAAATTGGTGGCCGTGTGCAGCGATTTCAAATCGATAAGTGTTACAGCCACAGCTAGACGTGGTCCATTTCTGATGACTAAACACTGACTAAGCATATCTGATGCTTATTCACTAAACTGTAAATTGCTAAATTCTATCTCGTACGTTTCCAGCTTTTATTTCCTTTATCAATGGCCCAAAATTTCCTTAATACGGATCTTTAAAGGGACTCTCCAGTGCCAGGAAAACAAATCTGTTTTCCTGGCACTGCAGAATCCTACAGTGCCCCTCTCCTATCCCCTATCCCATGTTGCTGGGTCAAGCTCCGCCCACGCTCCTACCCCCGCCGACGTCCGCCTGCGGGGTAGATTTAATGCACATGCGTGACAATGGCCACACACGTGCATTAGACCTCCCCGTAGGAAATCATTATTCAATACTTTCCTATGGGGATTCCGGCGATGCTCGTGGTCCTCATGCATAGCGTGAGGACGTCCAGCGTCGTGTAGACGACCAAAAGCAGTCTAAGCCAGAAGTCCCTCTAGTGGCTGTCTGACAAAAACTGCAATAATTACACTTGCAGGGTTATGGGTGATGTGAGTTGGCACCCAGACCACTCCAATGGGCAGAAGTGGTCTGGGTGCCTGGAGTGTCCCTTTAAATAAAGTTTCAAAACTTTTGACCCGAGAGATCCAGTGTTGGTCGCAGAGTGCAGGTGAGTTGAATCTTACCTCAAGCTGTCCCTCGCGGTGATTGCTGTTTTCATCCTGCTGTCTTCTTTGCTTAGTGCCAGGGGCTGCGTTAATGCTGTACTTTGGCACGTGTGTGAGAGTACAGCAATGAGGACTATGGAGGATCCTACGAGATCAGACTCCATTTATCGGTGTCTGAGACCCATGTCTGTCGGGATTCAACAAAATTTGACAGCTGAGCTCTGCCTTATGTCAACCTCTGATTTATAAAACATCGTAGTCTTTACTTAGTGTTTTTGGATTGTTGGAATTTCAGTGAGATTGCCCCAGTCTTGATCAGTATTTGAACATAACTTTATAAAATACTGAAAATTTACTGATCTGCTTTAAGTGAATAAACCCTCTCATTTTCTGCTGGTGTGAATTCTCATAGTTTAATCTGCTGGAACTTTAAAACAAACTTCAGGACTTGGATAAAATTTCAGAGGACAAGAAGAAATCATGGGAAATGTGCCAGTTTTCATCAGATATAGCCATTTTGAAGCGGTTTCTATACTGAATTCCTGTAGAATTATCTAGTTACCGGTTATATCTTATCGTATCTTCTTGCTTGATGTATACAGCCATCTGATATTGGTCATTCCTTTTGTCAGTGCCTAGACAGACATGCTGATCTACTTGGTGGGAGAGAACCTGTGCAAATATCCGGTTCGCAGGTTCCAGTCCCTGCAGAATCAACTCAGTCTTTTTTCATTTAAATTCCATAAAATAAGTTTCATTGTGCTGGTCAGTGCTAATCCCATTGTTTTAGTTGAGAAACGTGTGTTAAGGTGAGCCCTTGTAAAAGTTACATAAATTGTTGGAAATCTTAAAGGGGAAACTTTTCATTGTCCAAACTCCTGAATTTCCAGAAGAATCACCATATGGGTGGGTGGGGAAGGAAGCGAGGTTATGTGAGGCCAATAAAAACAAGGCACGGCTGTTGTCTGATCTATCGCTCGCTAAGCTGCTCTGTTCTGACCTTGTTAGTCAGCAGAGATCTTAATGAAGGTCACGTGGTAACAATCTTCCTACCTTTCTGAATCCGCATCTCATGGCGCCGCTTACCGCAGCCTAGCTTTGTAGAGAGAACAAGAATCCTGATATTGTTAAATGATGTGCACGCAGCCATTAGCAGAACCTCCCCCAATAATGCTGAGACCTCTTGGGGGCACCACGTCCATTACGAGTGCTTGTGATAGAGGACCTGTCACTTCCAGCTAAAACCTTTTTTTTTGTGTTCTTATTTATCCTTATCCCAAAGTACGTCCATCCTTCTGTCCTGGTGATTTCAGACTGAGCGGCTGGAAGTTCTTGCGGGTAGCAGACGACCAGTCTGTATCAAAGTCCCCATTTATATTGTAAGGCCGACGGCGTTGGTGGTCATTGGAAATAGAAGGTTCACTACGTCTGCAGTGTCAAGGCTAACTTTTCTGCTAAAGGCAATAGGGTTAATTGTTTTTTTTTTTTAATTTTGAATTCTAATTTTTTTTTTATATACATTTAAACTATATTGAAATAAGAAAGGGACATTTTAATACTTGTGTTTTTAAGGTTTAGCGATGTACCCTCAAAAGAATACAGAACATCTATAAATATTTTTGTTAATGCCTGTCAACAGACTGATGAAGTTTTCCTTGCTCATTGTAGTTCAGAACGATATTGATTGCTTCTCAGAGATAATTATCGATTTCGATGCTTCTCTGTAAGATGCATTGCTGGTCGGTCTAATTCTCTGAGAAGCCTCTGATTGGATACAAGTCTTCCAGATGCAGTGAAAGATTCTCCCACCATTGGAATAAAGGTCTGTTGCTGAAATGGGGAGCCCAGTAATCTAGAGATGTTTAAAGAAGACGCGCTAGTGTGTGTATTTTAAATAATTTTTTTTTTTTTTTTTTTTTACCTTTTTAGGATTGAATAGTAGTAATTGCCGGTAAAACCTTGTATCTATAGGAACAGGGCTGCCTTAGCTATTCTCTTGGGGGAAAAGTGGTTACATTGGGAGTCGGATACAAGGTCTGCAGTCAAACTGCTACAAATACTCAGTTGGCCAAGGCTGAAACCTTTTAGAATGTCAGAGAAACTTTCAGAGAATAAACGTCTATCTGTGTAATACTAACAATTTTATGAATATATATATATTCAGACTGGTTTAATTCCGCTCTTAGAGACTCACATGAGCTCCCCATATTCCACTGTCGGTAACCCAAGTTAATTTGGATCTATCCTGATAAGTGGCATAGTTTAACCCAAACAAGGATCATGTAGAACTGAAAGTTATTGGGAATTGTCATATTTTGATACTTAAAAAATAATTTAAAAAAATTATTTCTCCCCTCGCATTTGATTCACCAATGAATAAATTTTTTTGCAGATTTCTTAGAAAACTGTATATTTTTGGGCAAAATATCTTGGCTGGAAAAATGATCATAATTGGAGAATTTTTAGCATGGCTTGGACTCCGTTACCATCACTTAATGCCGATAGACCCTCACATTGTAGACTTGGTGAATAAACTGGTTATCCTGCAGGATAAGCTCAGTTAAATTACCATGGTTACTGGGACCCCCTGGGCTGGCGATTTTATTTTTTATTCTTATCTTGGTGTAAGGTGTCTGGGCAGAGTTGCGGTATAAAAAGCTGCATTTACAGAGTTTAACCCAAAGACTGTGAGGTGTAACTCCACCTATGACCACTTAGCTGGGGAGTCGTTAGCCCGTAACAAGTTCTGTGCTGGCTAATGTCCGTTCTGTACAAGTCTACATGCTCGGTGTGCTATTCATTGGCGGAGAGTTGTCAGCGAACACTCAGCCAATGAATGACAACGTGATGAACTGGTGCAGCTCACCAGAGATTGGAAGTATCTCCTTACAGTATAGGAGCCTCTGAGTTCGTCCTGGGACCCAACTAAGAGGGCGAACCTTTGCTAAACAGTCCATTATCGGGGAGTTAGGCCGGGGTAGAGTGGGCTGTAGAGCTACTAATGCTTGTAGTAACCCTTTAAATATGTTTTAATAGCTCTATAATGATCTTCCTTGCTTGCATTGAGCCCGGTCTGGTTTTCCCATTGTCCTTACTGTTTGTACCCCATTAATCCATACACTTTTACTTTGTACGTGTTTTTACAAGCTTCCTTGTACCCCAGGCCTTAGTCTGGTTTCTCCTTATCCTGCGGACTTGCTGATACGTGGCTGAGATTGTTTGCGATGCTCAGATTGTAGCTTCTGTTAATCTGCATTTCAGTGTGTTTGAAGTCTAGTTGTCCGTTTAACCATATTCCTTGTACAGAGCTGAAAATTTTATTGCATTTTAACGGACAAGATAGAATTAGCTACTAAATATTTTTTACATTTTTTTTAAATGCAAATATTGCACATAAAATAAAAAATAATAAATTGATACCTTTTCAATACTTGTGCTTGCAGCTTTTCAATCAGTGTTCACAAAACCAGGAAATAGATCAGCCAATCGGGAAGGTACTTTTTTTCATAGCGAAATTAACATTGTATGTTAATTCAGGACTTTAATTTGGCATTTATCTCCTGCTCTGTGAATAGCTTGCTAGACCCTGCAGGAATTTCCTGTATCCAATAGAAGTTTAATGTACAGAGGAGGAGATAAACACTTTTAAAGTAAGTTACATCTGATTGAAAATGAAATCATTTTGTTTTCATGCTGGCTGTGTTGGTAACAGCCATGGGAGATGTGGCTAGTGCTGCATAAATAGAAACAAAGGGGATTTAACTCCCAAATGGCAGAAAATTGAGCAGTGAAACTTCAGAGGCATGATTGCTACCCAAAACTGCTTAGGCTGAAGTTGTTTTGTGACTATAGGGTCCCTTGAAGCTATGAATGGTCCTGCTGATAGGGGCGCAATTATCCACTGTATGCACACTATAGGTGTAATAACATAGTCCAACCTTACACCATAACCTTATAGCTGCAGTTATAATACACTGTGTGCAGGGAGACAGGGGACCTCCTTATAGCTGCAGTTATAATACACTGTGTGCGGGGAGACAGGGGACCTCCTTACACCATAACCTTATAGCTGCAGTTATAATACACTGTGTGCGGGGAAACAGGGGACCTCCCTACATCATAACCTTATAGCTGCAGTTATAATACACTGTGTGAGGGGAGACCGGGACAGAGAACCTCCTTACACCATAAGTTATAATACACTACATTATTCCATCCTCTTTGGAAAGAGCTGAAAGTGTCCCTTCAATGTATTTAGAGGGATATTCTGTTTAATTTCCGTTGGCCCTTGATTGCGTTCACCATTTTGATATTCATTGGGTTTTAATGAATGTACCATGTTATAAATCATTTTGAATATATTTTTTTTTTTACCTGGTTCTGCCTGAACCCGCTGTGATTCTCAAGATTTCAATTTATATTAATGAAGAAATGGCTCATCTGCTTTTCATTTGAATTTTTTTTCCCTTTGCAAATGCAGAGAGATTTCTTTGCTAGCCGGGAACAATGACAGTACAGAATAGCATGCGCTGTGAGTCCATCTAATCCTCTGCTGGCTGACCTAAATTCCAGCTCAGGGGAGCCTCACTTTGATTCTAAAAAGCGAACAAAAGAAAATATTTCAGTGTTTTTCTTCTCTGTCCAAATGGTAGCGCACATTATTTAGAACCAATTAAAAAATCTTTTGCCCCATTCAAGAAAAAATAGCAGATTTCATATAGTCCATCAGTCATGGCCCAAATATTGCATTAATGGGGTTTGGGGTTGAAAGTATGGGATAAAAATTCTGTCTTAATATAAACCCACCCAGTATAACTAACTGTAACCTAACCTACACAGTGCATCTAACGTGTGGGAGCCTGGAGTGTCCCTTTAATAATATAAACCCACCCAGTATAACTAACTATAACCTAACCTGCACAGTGCACCTAACATGTGGGTGTCTGAGTTCATTTATGACTGATGGCGTTGGAAAGTGTGACCTTAAATTGGAGGTTGGTAGCTGTGTATTTATTTATTTATTAGTATTGTACAGAAAGGGAGGGGAAGCGCTTTACAGTATTTCTCGATGATATATCTAACTGAGATGGTGAAATATATTATGCAGTAGCTCTAGTAAAATGGAAGGATAAGTACAGAATACACTGATTTTGGGAGTTCTTGAAAGCTTCACTTGTATGAGTGTGAATGCTACAATCCCCACTTCAGGATTCTTGTGGGTTCATTTGGTCTCAGTCAGTAAAAAATATAAAACTGATTTAGACTAATCTAGTGCAGTATATCTGGATAAAAATTAATCTGTAATAAAATGAAAATGCACTCCCGTGGTATGGAGCCTGTGTGTTGATTCCTAAAATGTAGCATGGAGTCCTATAATCACCACTCAGGGATACTGGTGAGCAACCATAATCTCTGTATATAGGGTATGCAATAAAACTGAAATATAGTGCACACTGTAATATTTCTTGGTGCAAATAGAGGTAAAATCACTTACAAGTGTGGAGAAAAGGGGGATTTTGCTTAATACAGCATAATTGGTATGTTCTCCACCAAGGAAAGTGTTGTCCAGTATAAGATGAATTAAACACAGGAGGGTCCAGGGTGTCTTAAACAAATGAATCTTTTTATTCTATAACCAAGCTAAAAAAAGTCTGGTAAAATAACACGAATGTGTTGTCCCCAACTGAAAGGTTGCTTTCGTGCATCCCAGAGTTGGGAATATGACACTCAATGCTATATTTTACGAGTCGTCACACAGGCTCCATATCATGATTGAATTTTCACTTTTATTACTTCATTTTATTACTAAAATTTTTTTTAAAATCTTTATTTTTGCTTTGACAGATCTATATTGTGGGGAAAAATAGTAGATAGACTATCAATCAAAACGTACAAGATATACACAGTTAGTACACCACTTTCCATGTTATAACAGAAGATGTCTGTGTCTCAAGGCTATCGTCCGCGTCTTTTGAAGCAATCTTGAATATAAGCTGTCGGTTTTAATGTATATTGTAACTAAAAACACATAAGGTATAAAGATGAACGTGGTAAACATCTGTCCAGGTGGGTGTTGTAGTTGCTGAAGTGTATAAGACTTTTTCATGCCGTGTTAAGCGAGTCACGCTACTTGGCTTCACTTGCCACATTAGATAATAGATCCGGGGGAGAAGAAGAAACCAGAAAGGTATGGGTGAAAAATCTTTGTCAGGTAGGTTAGAAGATGTTCTTGTGTTTGGTAAGATGATTGAGCCCGGGGCACCTTACAGACTCCCTCTTATATAGTAGTATTGTATGTCAGAAAAGGTGCTCGTCACGTGACATAGAAAGGTCTTTATTTCTCACTGGATAGGAATACCCCAGTCTCTGAGCTGCGTTTTGGTATTCGCGCGCCTTCGGACTCATTAGCAGCCGACCGAGCGCAAGCAATTGGTTCTTTGTGTTCTTTTCATGCAAGTTATTTCACATGGCTGTAAACGCTCAGTCTGTGGCCGGCTACTTTGTCCGATCTTTAATTTCCAGCAGTTCTGACAAATTTAGTTGTTAATCCTCTTTTTGTCGTCGTCCCCCCGCCCCACCCGCTCTGTGGATGTGGAAAATCTACGAAGGCTCCTTCAAGTGTAATACGTTGGTCACAGAATCCTTCAACCTGGCCTGTCTCTAAGTTCTCCAGTGTGTGTAGGATAAAAATTGGATTGATTTTACACTTTATATTTTCAGAGCATTTGTCGCCTGTTTGTAGGAATCTTGGCAATAATTTCACTTTTGAGGTGGGGGTGAGGGGGATGCAAATGCGACCCACTAGTCTTGTGATGTTCGTTTTTGTCTTGGGTACAAACAATGCTGGGAACTGTCTCCTTTGCGTACCAGTACCTCAGCCAGGGTAATAATTAACAGTTCTTCTGCCTGCCTGTTATTTTGCCGCTCTTGCTTTTTTTGTTGCCTAACTTTTGGCGTTGTTTTAAGGAAGTTCCTTTGTTCATGTTTGTATAACTTTAAACCTTTTAACTAAAGGGGAAGTTACCCCAAAACAGGTGCAAAGCCTGTGCCTGCTATTAATAGGGTGTTTTTCAGGATGTGATATAATGATTAACCCCTTATGTAGCAGCATTGTGCTAAAGGTTTGTGATTTGATTTGTACACCTTTATCTGTCTAGGAGTTGTTGTTTTTTTGAGTAACACAAGCTGATGATTTATAGAAGGAGGCCAAAGGAGAGTAATTTCGTTGGAATATTATGAGCTGGCTCGTGTGTGTGTTTTTACCTGTAGTAGTGCAGGTAACATAGAAACAAACTTTGATATTTAAGGAACTGTAAATAAATGTCGTGAGGTTTTTTCACTCTCCACAGAATTGTTAACCATTAAAAATAAAAATTGTTTAGAAAAATTCTCCAACTGTGCTGCTATAGTAATGCCTTGGCCGTTTTTAGCTTCTTTAATTTTGGTTTTCAGTTCTCTGGAGTTCAGTGTTTTTAAGGGTGAGATTCTGAATTCAGTCTCTGTGCTGATTCTTATTGACTTTTATTGCAGTATTTTGTGGGTGTGTTTTGTTGGCCACATGGAATGCTCTTTCCAAACCTGATTTATCAAGCCATGACTGAGCATTAACTACGACATGTTGGCTGAAAATCACTGTGCAGGTTATATAACTTTGTATTTTGTTAAAGGGGATCTTTCCCCTCCCAGGATTATTTAATATTCTATTTACGTATCCGCTATATTTATAAGAAATTTAAACTAAATGTTGAAATTCACACCCTTATTCTGCAGCTGGACGCCTCCATCTTGGCTCCCTGTCAGCCATTGTTCTAAGTTCTGTCCTTTGCACCTTGCAGTCAGCATAGAGAGTGCAGACAGAGAAGGAAAGATATGAAACAATGTTCTCTTTTGCAATGCATTTTTACTGAACTGGATTTGTCTCCTTTTTATAAATATTTAATGTTTAAATTTAAAGGAAAACAAAGCAGTGTGGCAAAGGGGGTTTACACAATTTGTACGTAGTATAGTTCTGAAAGAAATGCTATAGATTTGTTCTGTGCAATATAAAGGATTGAATTACCATCTCCATGGTTAATGGTCACCTGGATCTTACCGCGGCCCCTGTCGCTGTATAAATGTCTCTTTGCCTTGCTAGGTTTGTGTCTGTGCTCGGGGGAGCCTTTGGCTCTGTTTCTATAGCTACATGTAGTAGCTGACAATTGTGTGATAAATAATTGAACCTGCTCATGTGTTGGCGTGTGTAGGTTTAGTGCACTTGGTTAATCATTAACCCATTCCCTGCATGTCTTCAGTGGCTCACTGATGTAATGACATGAAAATGGTTTGAATTCCATGTCATGGAACAGGGGTCTTTATAGCAACGGAACCTACGGTTTCACAGTTTACTCTGTTGCAAAATGCAGTTAATTTAATTTTTTTTTTTTCTATTTTCATGGAGTCACACATTGACTTGCAGAGCATGTGAGGTATGCCACTGTGACTCATGATAAACAAGGGGTTCATTTTATTAATAAATAAAAATATTATGCCCAAACTCTCGCCCCGAAAAGTGTTAGCTGTGATATTGCCAGTTAACAGTGTTTATTACCTGTCACCCGCTTGACTGATGGTTGAGATTACACTTTGCTTTCAAGTATCGCTTTATGGAAGAAAGCGCTATGCTAAGCCGGCTATCATTCGGAGCCAGTTTGGGCAAATAATGTGTTTTTATCTTGTATGAGTAATTTTATTATATTGGGGTGACAGATGTGAATAATTTATTGCTTTTCGATCTGTTAACAGCAAGTGATTTAATCATTCAAGATCCTGATTGTTTAAATATCCAGCCTATTTGTACATGTGGCGTTGATGCAATATTGGGCAATGTTGCTGTCCATGTTTTTATCAGAGCTATTCATTTTCTGGGGGTGTCTTGTCCCCAACCTTCAGCGTTTTTGATAATTTTCTTATTTAAACTCTAAGGAAACCCTTTGCGACCCAACAGATTCAATTTTTTTTAAATTTTTTTTTTTTATTGGGCATTTTATCTTTTTGGGAAGTTGTAAAGATTCCACCGATCTGACATTTCCAACATTGGCTCCATTTTTTTAATTAAAATTATTAAAATGTCTCTTCCTGTAGAGTTTGCTTAAAGTGTTTTATTAAAAAAAAAAAAATAAAAATAAACATTTAGGAGAAGGTTTTTGGTGGTAGGAGATTTTACAATGCATGTGGCTTCGGGGCATCTTGAATAATATTTAAGAGGAAACTGATAAAAATCTGGTTGTTAAATATAATGCTTCTTTGTCATACACAGTGCTGCTTTCCACATTGGGTGCCATTTTCCCTGGACGTGCTCCCCGCTAGTTTCCCAGGTAGCTCCAGTGGGATCCTAGAATGCATTCCGTGGTTACATAGTGATTTTTAGACTGCGTTTGGCATAGTTGGCCACCTGTGCTATACAGCTGGAGCATTTCATTGGTGTCCTGATTACACAGCATTGTACGCTGCACTTTGTGTATTTCGTAGGTGTTACTGAAATTCAGATGCAAACACAGATTATGCTTAAACAGGTTTTGTAGGAATGCCTTTTTTTTTTAAAAAAAAGTTTTTTTTTTTTTTTTGTTTTTTTTTTTTTAAATTTATATCCAATCTAGCGCAAGTGGGAATTCTTCGCCATATGGTGTTTTCCAAATTCTGGTGCTTCGCTCCTTGCAGACATGTTAAATATCCTATCGCAGCAAAAATCTACCCAATGCCCCGCTCAATGAAACCTGCAAGGGCTATTACTTCCCAGTGGATAGGTAATGCAGCTTACATGAGATTTAAAACCCCCGGAGCGCAGAGACCGTTTTTATTGAAGCCTAATTACTGAACTAATTACGTTTTCTCGTAGAATGGCCTTAATTAAAAATGCTCCTTCAAGCTTAAAGCTCCCTCGTGGTTGGCGTGCGGCACTGCAGGTGATGGGCTACCATTCACAATGATGCTTCTATTTTACAGTAGTATATCCAGTATGGAGGTTACCTTGAGGTGCAGCCCGCACACCAAGATGCTGTTTCCTCGGTTCGCTTTCCCGAGGTGTTTTTAAGTTTTTATTTTTTTTATTTTATTTATTTGTCCTGGAATGCATTTTTAAATAACCGTCCAAGAAAAAAAACAGCCTAACAAACTTTCTCCTTTGTTCTACAGATTACAAAGCGAACTTGGCTCATTGATGCCTTTCACTGAGTAATTATGTGGTTACATTGTGTTGTAATAGTTTTAGTAGAGTTGAGTCATATATCTTCGTTGAGAAGGAAGGTAGGTCCCTTCCCCCCCCCCCCCTCCACCACTTGCTTTAGCATGTGCAAAAAAGCTCAGCTCGCCAGGTAGAGTCCCACCACTGTGGATTTTCCAGTATTTGTCCTCCTTTGCACAAGTCTGAGTAACAAAGTATTTTAGACCAGCGTTCCTTTTGTAATTGTATACTTTCTGCTTTTCCCCAATTTCACAGCGCTATGGAATGTGGTGTTGGCTTATAAACATTAAAAATAGATACAGAATTTATTGTTGTGCATTGCTTCAGATATGTAACACAAATGGCCATGTTTGAATCTGTTCATATTTATTAAATTGTTACCGGCCCAGTTTGCGGGGGTGCTGTAGGCCTCACTGTCTATGAAGATATTATCTGTGACTGCTGTGCTGGAATTGTCAATCCCATTACCATTCTCATCAGGCAGAGTGCCCCAGTGAACGTTTCTCCATAATTGGGGAGAATTTGCATTTAGCCCCCTGCCAGCTCTGTCCATATCTCCATACATTTTCCTGGTGATGTGGATTATAAAGCCATATGCTGAGCTATGCTTACCACCTCACGCCATATGCTGTGTGGATCGCTGAGCGTTTCACCCGACAGGAGGCTGCCGTTTGAGGAGGTTACCTTTATTATTTGGATGCTGACACCTGTCGAGTCTGGTTACCTCTGCTCCGTTTTGATGTTTCCTCAAATTTCCTTTATCCTCATTTTATCTGATGTGTCTGGAGTATTTATAGTAATGTCTGCTAAAAGCCGCCGTGTAATGGCTTCTCTGTGTGGTTTTAAGAGGCCCTCGGCCACCAGGTCCCTCGTGCCCTGCACACGTCTCGGACACTGCTCTCTCAACGCAGACTGGAACTTGGTGTCATCCTGTCCTTGTATTCATAGAAAATAAATGGCCAGTTCCAATGATTGCTGCTTGTTAACTTTATCGTAAAAATGAAAATCCAGCACACTCCCTTATCTACTAAACAGCTATTTTGGTGCTGACAGATTTGGTTAGTTTTATTAAAAACACCTAATCTAGGCAAAAAATAATGGGGGTTTAGTTACATTATATGATCATACATTGCATAAGCCTGCCACAACGTCAATGTACCCCATCTTTGGCAGGTCCTACTCTGTCTGCTAAATGAGCTACTCACTTGGGGAAATCCTTCCATCTCGAGGTCTCTGCAGTACAAGACTCTATATATCGAGCAGAGGGCTGACAGATCCCGGTAAACACATTAACACAATGTAACGGAGTAAAAATTAATTCAGCCTGATCGCTCATGGGGTATCTCAACACAATCCTAATCAAATAAGCTACGTTGCTACACAGGCTATTTTACGTCTGTGAGAGTGATGTCAGAATGTCAAACCATAAAAGAATGCGCCACACAGTGTTTTAGGAAGCTGAACTCAAATTGTTTTTGTAACATATCCTGTTACTTCCTGGTTTGGTTAGCTCATGATTAAAGGACCGCTATAGGCACCCAGACCACTTCAGCTTAATGAAGTGATCTGGGTGCCAGGTCCAGCTAGGTTTAACCTTTTTTTCTATAAACTTAGCAGTTTCAGAGAAACTGCTATGTTTATAAGAGGGTTAATCCAGCCTCTAGTGGCTGTCTCATTGACAGCCACTAGAGGCGCTTCTCACTCCGGCACTCCTCGCGCATTCAGCCGAGGAGGAGGAGAGTTCCCCGGCACTGGAGAAAGAGGTAAGTTTAACCCCTTCCACCCCCTAGAGCCCAGCGGGAGGGGATCCCTGAGGGTGGGGGCACCCTCAGGGCACTATAGTGCCAGGACAACGAGTATGGTTTCCTGGCACTATAGTGGTCCTTTAACACTATTGGCATTTTATGACACATTCATTTAAGAGGTACAAATGATTATAAAAAGAAATAACGAGCTTAGAACGGGCTCAATTATCACCTTCACCAGCAAAACCTAGAGACCTTATCAGATCATACAATATCTTTAATTAAAATCAATTAATTGGCCGTAGCCAAGAGTCGTAAAAAGATGTGATGTGATGGCCGCATTATTGATGGAATGAGCAACGCTCTGTTTAATAGAAGTATGGAGATTATAAAGGCACAGTAACTAATATGTACTCCTCGTTGTCTATATCTGGCTTACTGTGCCTCGTTGTAAGCTGCTGTTGGATCCAAACGTATGTTATACCCCACCGCGCACAAAGTAATTAAAAGAAAAGTCTTAATGAGGCCCAAGATTACATTAGTGTGCTGTCGTCCAGATACTTGCACTGAATCTTGCATGGCAACTATTCCCAGGGGAGTGTTTGGGAATCCAAAGTCCTTGCCATGCTGATTAAAAAATATACATCATTTAGACAGTTTGAACAGCTCCGTGCCGCAAACAAAAACCAACAAAAAAAATCCCACAAGAAAGCTACGTTTGCTATCTGACTCCATCTTGCCTGTTGGTGCATTGAAATAAACTGTAGATCCTAACATTTCTGCATAATGAATGCAATGTACCAGAGCTGAGGGGTGGTGTCTGTGAATTCGTGCAGGCTGGCAGATCCACTGACAGGGCCTCGGGTGTGAATTTAACATGCAGACAGTCCAAAAGTATTGCCTTTTTAGCAAATTAAAGATCTTCCCGGAGATTAATCCACTTATGTGTGTCTTGGTTAGACTTGTATCCCATCGTTTGCTTAAAATGACTTGAATCCTTGCTAGGCGGAACCTAGTCAAAGGGTTAAATACTGCATGAATTTATTTAAACAGAAAAATGTTATTTAAATTTTTTTTATCCTATTTTGAAGTAGTTTGCATAGAGATAGAGATTGCTTTTAGCTGGGAATACTAATAGAAAACCTGTTAACTACGTGTTTGTAATGTTCATAATGGTGGAGCAGAGTGAAACATGACGGCTCCGCACAGTGTGCTGGCTCTGCATAGACCAGCTCTGTATGCTTGATGTGCACATTCCTTCGGTGCATGGCAATGTTTATTTCGGTGGTCTCTAACCTTGGCATCCATGGTGGGCTTAAACCACATTTCCTGTGATTCCTAGCTGCACTGGAGGTTGCGTAAGTTAGTTGCATGATTTTTTGGCATCCTTCACTATCCCTTTTCACCTCCTGAGTATATTCTCGGTTTGTCATAAAATATGCAGTCTATAAAATGTAAATGTTCAGTTTAGTCAATGTAGTAGAAATGTTATGATATAGGTTTTTACTTATGCATTAAAGCTCATTGTCGATTTAGGAGCCTTGCATTCTCTATTGGAGTAAATGTGTACATAAATTGCAGAGTACCAACATATTCTGCAGCGTAGTGTAATGGAATCCATCTTGGCTGACTATGCAGATGAGCAGAGAGTACTGAGTGTTGTACTCCAGGGGCTAACAATTTCTGCTTTACCTGTGCATGCCATTTGGCAGCCTCACACTACTGATTATTGCTGTTAATTGCATCATGCGGCACAGTCTGTCCGAGGGTCTCAGTGGATTATTGTTACCAGCTCAGCAAATCATCTTACAGGCTGTTTACAATGGACTGTCTGCTGTATGAAGCAGAAGAGGCCTGACGTGTACTATTAATATTGATACAAAGGTTGTTTGGGGTAATTTATAAACCACCTGGCAATATTAGTTTTGTTTAAATAATTAAATAGTAAATTTCTTTGGTTAGAAACTGGGCAGTAACTTGATTCCACCCACCCTCCATGATAAGTAGATCAAAACTGGTCAGCCGTTTCATTCATAAGACTCAAAACTCCATTTGCAGCTGCCTTGCGGCTCCCGTGAAACTACAGCTCAGGATACTTTGTAAAAAATTAGTCCTTTTTGGAGGTGCTTTCAAGGGGAGCACACAACATACACATACTTGTTTAGACAGAACATTAAAGAAGGGCTTAGCTTTTGGGATTTAAATATCCAGGCAATGTCTGCGTTGATCTGGGGAGAAGGTCCATTGGTTCCAATATGTAGTTATTGTATAATCAATACATTATAATATAGGTTCTGATAACCGTATAGGAGTTTGGTCTGTGTAATGGTTTGCTGGCCCCCAACATAGTTTACACTTTTGGTGAACAAGCCCAAGCCAATTATTTTATTTAGTGTGTTTTTTTTGTTTTGTTTTTTTTTTTAGAACTATTTAAAACCTCTACAAAACCTGGCTGCGGACATTTTGTCAGTTTATCGTTTCAGCTGCTTTTTCGCGGTGACCATTTTTTTTTTTTCCCCCCATTGTGACTAACCCTGTATTTTATGTTGGTTCCCCGCGTTCTGCCACCCACGTCCTGAATCAGCCGCTTGTCACCTTCTGTTTGTTTTAAAGCCTTTTGTGTTGTGACTGCCTTTTTTTTTATCCTGTGTTAATTTGGAGGAAAAAAAACATGTGGACTCAGGATTTAGACTCTCAACGGCTGCCTCCCGGGTCTGTATAAAGCACACCTGGCATCTCACATGGTGCTCTTCGAAGCGTTATTTGCACAATACACAGAGGAAAAAAATGATCAAAACCAACAAAGTTTGGGCGATGTCATTTAAAGGGACACTATAGTCACCAGAACTACTACAGCTTATTGAATTTGTTCTGGTGAGTAGAATCATTACCTTCAGGATTTTTGCTGTAAAAAATGACTTTTCAGAGAAAATGCAGTGTTTACATTACAGCCTAGTGATAACTTCACTGGCCACTCCTCAGATGGCTATTAGAGATCCTTCCAGGGTCATGGCTGCCTAAAATGCATCCAAACATTCAGTGTCTCCTCCCTCTGCATGCAGACACTGAACTTTCCTCATAGAGATTCATTGATTCAATGTATCTCTGAGGAGATGCTGATTGGCCAGGGCTGTGTTTGAATTGTGCTGGCTCTTCCCCGATCTGCCTCTTTGTCAGTCCCAGCCAATCCTATGGGGAAGCACTGTTATTGGATCAGGCTACCACTTCTGATGATGTCAGCAGACTGCTTGTTTTTCTGAGTCTAACAGCATGCAGAGTTACAACTTCAGGCTTGAATACAGTAAGATGTTGCTATATTTATGGAGGCATGAGGGGCCCAGGGGGGGCTAGATGGATCGCTTTAACCCTATAGTGATCCTTTAAATCTTATTATTTTCTAAAACTGCTTTGGTAGTGTGCAGTACCGCTAGTCTATACAGTGCTTGATATAAAGTTACAAGTGGTTGTTGAATTTATATTAATTGGTCCCTCTTGTCATTATTGTGGTATATATTTACTAAAAATGCATTTTGATGAGGATTTTAGACCTGATTTGTTTGCTCATACAACCACGAAGAGAAGCTTGATGTTTGAAAATGTGATTTCATTGGCCACGGATCAGCTGTCTGACATCATACAGGGCGCAGCATACAAGGGATTCCATTTTGCGGTGTGTTTGCAAGCTGCTGGTGTATACAGCTGTGCAGCATAGTTGCGGATTGCTTTTGCCTAATCTGCTAGTTGCTGGCAAGACAGGTTCTGTTTTAGGGTTAGAGTTTAATTAAAGTAGCTGTCGTGGTCTCGGTTTACAGGTGTGTGTGTGTTCGTTATGTCCTACACCATGTCATTTGTTTACTCCTGTGGATGAGTAAATCTCTCACCTCAGTCTGCTGACCAAGGTTTTCACCTCTCTATAACATCACACTTGCTCAGATCATTGCTTTCCCTCTAAATAAGGATCGATTTGACCTGAAAGTGAATTCCTCTCCTGCCCATCGCCATTCTGGATGAGCACGAGACCAATGTAAAGACTGCTGGGACATACAGCAGCTGATGATTGTATTATTCATGACACACACTCCATTGTGGTTGAATTTTCCTGATGGGAAATGTGGTCCACAGTGCCTGCAGTGCTTACAGAGCGAATTCACTGGTGTTGAGCATGTGATCCCTTTACTTTCTGATAATGGCTAGGGTTAGGCGTGCTGGGCGGGATTTGCCAATTATAGGGTAATATGATTGCTGTCACTTTCACTGTCATGCACAACTTATGAAAGTGTCGCTTATTGAAATTCCCACCTTGTCAAATTCCTCAAAGGGACGTGAATCACAGATTACTAAAAATATCAGTCACCATTATCTCTCCCTCTCTTCCCCCAATACCTGAAGGAAAATGTATTTAAAAAAAAAAAATTTGTGCACACCATTCAGATCTCTCCATTTATAAACCCCCCCCCCCTCCTCCAACACCATGATTGCTTTCTTTTTGATCACAGGAAGCCCATTTGGGATCACGCCAGACTGTGCTTCCTCACCTTCAAAGAAGGAAGAACGAATCTTTCCCTAAATCTTTTCTCTCTCTCACGGCCCAAAGCAGCCCCACACTTCAAAGTCCTTGGTCGTGCCCTTGGCGGATTGCTGCTCACCAAACGCTCTGCATGCTTATTAGCTTCAAGCGTTATGCAAATTGCAGAGCAGCGTTCAATAACCCACACTCAAGGTGCATTCAGCCCGGTTTGCCAGCTCCCTGCCTTTAGTGCACAGTTTGTTTTATGGAGAGAATATTTCAAGTCTATCTGCAATCTCCATTTTATTTCCACTTTCTATTTTTTTTTTTTTTTTTTCTGCAGAAAGAATGATCAGTGGTGCCATAATCACTAGAAAAGGGCTTAAACTCCTTATTAATGGGTGAACATTATATTTGTGCAAATGTGTTTTTTTATTTTTTTTTTTTTTTATTTATTTTAATGTGAAAATATTTGGTATAAAGAGATTAACCCTCATTCTATCAAGGTTTCAGAATGTATTACACTGGAAATTCTCATTATTGGGATTAGAAAAGGTTTCTTTAACCAATAGGAAGTGTGATACGGGTTGATCTCCCATCTAACGGTAACGCTTAACCTTACACTAATAAAGGACTCTATGCTAAAGAAACAGGTCTCAACCGTAACCTTCATAGCGGTTCTTTGGAGACACCTTTTGGTTTTCAAAATGGTTAAATGACAGCGAATCCATAGCTAACATTGCAAAGCTACCCAGACGGTGATAAAATTCAGACAGAAGTGTGGTTTTCTTTTACCAGCATCCTCGTTGTGTTTGCAAAAGTTGTAGGTGTTGCGGTTTTTTAACAAAAACCCTTCCACCTACTGACTTGCCTAGTGGTCTGTTTTCCTGATTTACCTCGCAATTTCTGCATGTAATTATGCACTTTTCATATTTTATTTTTAAACAGCTTTTTTTTAAATTTCCCTTTCTTTATACATACTAATCGGAGAAATGGTAGCCACAAAAGTAGTGAAGTTCAAAATGGACATTGCTTTTAAAGACCCTTTATGGTGTTCATCCTGTATAACCGAATACATTTATACAAATTTTGCAGTTGTTCGCCATGCTTCCTACAATGGATATATTTGTTTTGAACCTTCTCTTGGAAACCATAATAGAAGTCTGGTTAGTGGTCTCCCAGACACAGGTGACTTGTCTTGTATTTTAATTCCGTACTTGACTTATGTATGGAGCATGTGTGTTTAGTGACTTGCTTTAAAGGTTCGCTTTGCTATGGTGTATGTTGTCCCCTGTATTATTGCGCACTGTTCATGTGTTTACATCCCATCTTCCTAAAGGGCTGAGCCTTGGAGAACTCCATATTACACTTCTTATGGAAACTGTGAACAGGGCCGTCCGTACACAGATAGTAGCCACTGCATGGCTGTGTTCTATTAATCTCCTCTCATAAGTGAATCAGCTGCTGTAAACTCCTGGGGGACCATACGAAGTCCAGCCCCTTGTCCTGGGCAAAACTCTGAGCTACTGCTGCCTGTCTGAGGATTTGCAGGAGTTTCGAATTTGGGTACGATCATACTGAAAAAAACTTCAATGGCATTGTTTTTATATGATTCTCTTTTTTTAAAGAAGTAATTTTTATTTTTTTATGAATCATATCTATACATAAATGGTGTGAGCAAGCAAGGGCGTTGTGACCCATGATCAGATGCTGTCGAAGAGTCCATGTCACAAAGTGCGTAACGCCCCACCTCAGGGGTTGTATAAAGCAGCCGCTGTATGACCAGGTGATCCGATCAATGTGTTTAATACAATTCCACAATAGACTTTGGACTGTCTGAGTAGTGACAGATATAAGGCAGGCAGAGGACCCCTATTTGGAGCTTTTCTCAGTGTTGGGTTTGCTGCAATGGCCGATTAAGCCTGCTCTCTTCTCCCACCCCCTTTCTTATTTCATATTCTCCATGCTTCCATATACTCTGCCTTCACTCCCCTCGCTCGCCCTGGGGAAAGCATTGGATTGGCTAAACTCGGTGCGGGGCCAAATGCAGTTTTAGCGAATCAGGACCTCCTCATAGAGATGCATTGAATCAATGCATCTCTGAGGAAAATTCAGCGTCTCCATGCAGTGCGTGACGATGCTGAACGTCAGGGCTGCTATTTCAGCAGCAGTGACCCAGGAAGCCCCTCCAGAGGCCACTTGGAGGTGTCCCTAGAGGCAATGTAAACACTGCCTTTTCTCTGAAAAGGCAGTGTTTACGTGAAAATAGCCTGAAGGGAATGATGATACTGATGAATGATTAAGCTGTAGTTGTTCTGGTGACCATAGTGCCCCTTTAATTAGTTGGCCTCTTCTTTTCTAATACTGGAGCCATTAGAATGACTGTTTATTTGAGGAAGCCATGGGTAGTGTGAAGAAAATGGAATTACTATGTTTTTAGTGTATCCCATCTATCCCATTGTGTGGAATTTGTTTCTTTTTTTTAAAATGTATTTTTGTTTTTACTCTCTATTGCAAAAGAGATTAGGATTTGCACCATGTGTTGAACTCCCCTGAGTTGGGAAATTGAACAGTCATTTTGCTAATGACATTGAAAAATGAAGATTCGCGTTCTTTTTACACCAGCCTCAGCAAATCAATTTGGGTGTATCCTGGCCGCAACCACACCCCTCCTTCTGTGTCTCGCTACCCCTCATTTCTATAACAGCCCAGAACTGTATGTTGCATACATACTAAATGGTGATGTATCACGGCCTAATAATGCAGAGTAGAACAGACTTATTCTAGAACCTCGGCCACAGCATGTACGTTTTTAAAGGTTTAGCCACAAAAACAAAAAATGTACATTTGCTATTAATATATTCTCACTTGGCTTAAGTGTTTAAAACAAAAAAGTGTATTTCTATGTAGGTGTATATTCTGTTCGCTTGATTTGCTACCATCTGTGCTGGTGAAGATTATAAACTATTAGTCACACTTGCACACGCATAGTACCCGAATGCTCATGTGAGTCATGTCTGTCAAGTCATGTGAAGCACTGCATTAACACATTAAGGATCATTGGTGAGTAATGATTTGGTCCTTAGAGTACCCACAATAATTTGCATTGCATTGCTCTTCACATATGGCATTAAAGGGATTTTTCAAGCACCATGATCACTTCAGTGATTTGAAGTGGTCATGGTATCTGGAGTCTGTATGTGGAGTGTTAAGCAAAGCCATACTGCACAGAGTTTAACCGATTTGTAACTGAAGGTGTAACTCCACCTCCGGTAGTGTCATAGGGTGTCATCAGCCATCTCGTAACTGAATGCGGTCAGTTGTAGTGCTTTCGGTGCTTAGTTGGAGTCATCTTTTAACTGGATTTTAAGGTTCTCATAGTAAATACAAGCCACTCCAGGCTGGCACAGTCTGTATGGACCAGTTTGTGATTGAGATTATTCATCCTGAATGGTTTGCTGTTGGTAGGGAGTATTTATCGGTCCGGAATTAGGGTCAAGAGATTGAGACTGCAGACCTGAGATTAGTTGTTCCTAACCTAGGTTGCAAAGAACATCAACAATCCTGGTTTTGTTAGTATCTCAATAAGAACTGAACTAGGGACAGCTCAAATCATGAACATTTGGTTTACCTTGAGGTAAATGACATGATAAACGGACTAGTGGTGGCCCTTCCTCTGTGACTGGTACTGAGAATTGTGTACCACAGACAGTAGCCAAGACTTCAAATCCCTGCTCTAGAAGGTCATTTGGGTCCAATACTTGAGCGCATTCCACGTTAATTAGACTAGTGCATCCAGTGGGTTTAACAAATACTTGATATGTTTTGCTGATGAGTTGTAGAATCAGGCTGGTTTTGAGCCATCATGAATGGTTTGTAGCTCTCCTCAAGGCACTTTCTTATGGGTAACTAGGCTCTTAATTAGTGGAGAAAACTATAAGACCATTTAATAAAGGAAAAGGCCTGTGATAGTCTCATTTTGTTGCATATTAGTAACTTTGAGGACAGGGGTTCCCAAAAGATTTGCAGATGTTGTAGAACTACAACTCCCACAGTGCTTTGCATGATTTTAGAATGATAGAATGACAAAGCATCATGGAAGCTGTAGGTTTAAAACATCTGGGGATCTACCTTTTTTGGCACCTCTGATCTAGGACATCAAAGTTGGCTTTGGCAGCATCGTGTTGGGCTTCTCATAAGTCTTTTGGGTGCCGTGTTTAGCCATTGCTACCATTGCAAGACTCATGGGGTGTTCTTTCTCAAATCTCAGAGTGATGTGTAGAGTCATCACTGATCTACAGATTGATCATCCTGATATAAAGACCTGGGAGTTTCGCTCATCTTTTTCAAGAGACCTTTTAGTCCAAAATGTCAAACAAGCACATGTTTGTAATGTTTAGCGTGTTTGTAAAGGTTCATAGTAGGAATGTCACGGTTATTTTAAGGATGTTCTCTTGTTCCCTTTTTCCACTTTCTCGGTTTGTATTTCAGTAGAATGATGAACATTACTTCCCTTTTGATGCAAAGTTTCCTCTGATTTAAGATCTCGTTCTAATTGAAGCTTAAATGCTTTCCGGTCCTGGCTTTCTCCGCTATAATGTACAGTTAATGTTCTCCTGTAGAAGGTTTTTTTTTTTTTTTTTTTGGTGTGTGTGTGTGTGTGTGTGTTCAATGGAGAAATTAGATGAAGTGATATTTAAAATGGGATCGAAAAGCAAATCCCGGAGAAACAGAGCTCATCATCGCTTGGTGGATGTGAGCAGACGCGGATATTGCCACCAGAGGGCAATGGGCATTCAAAGCTAAGACCAGTCTGTGCTTCTTACTTAATTCTCACTCTTAGTAAAGAACTATGGGAGATTATCAAGAATTCAGAATAACTTTTAGACCAGAGTAGCCATTCTGAATACATAGCTCGCTTAGGGACTGTACCATTGCAGCTATTTTGGGCAAACAATTGCCAAGACTAGAGTACCATATGCAAGCCTTTTTAGTGTCTTGGTTTGAGACGTGATTTGTGTTAATTTTTAAGTGATTGAATTAACTGATCACATTTTTAATATGCATTAATTACTAGTTTGAGTAAACATTGGGTACTTTTTAACAGAGCCCTGTGCTTTTTAAAGGATTACTCAAATAATCCGAATCCCTAAAGCACACCGTAGTGGCTATGAGGCCGGGAGTACTGTGACCAAGTTTCCTATAATGGTTAAATCCTTTAGCAATGGTTCACCCTCGTACCTGTGTCCGCACTGGGCCCGAGGCTCCCTGGCAAAGATCCAGTCGCCATTAATCAGGTGACTGCTCTCGGCCAATGAATGGCATACTATGCAGCAAAAATGGCACAGAATTGATATTAGCCAGCCCACGCCACTCCATAACGCTGCCGGATATCTAGTTAATCCTCTGTCAGCCAATGGGTTAATATCTGTATTTGCAGCTGCTCACAGCACAACGCTGCGCATGCAGACTACAGGCACCATGACCACTTCAAATCCCTGAACTGGTCATGCTGCTTGGAGTTACCATTTTAACAAAGCTTTATTTTTATTTATTTTAATCCATTTTGCACAGAAACTGCTGAGGTAGCTAGCTGTCCTTTATCTCTGGCAAGCATTCAGTCAGATGTTTTTGCCCCAGTGCGAAGTCTGCAGCGTAACACCTTTAACCAGTTTTTAAAGGGTTTGAGAATCATTTTACATGGCAGGGTAAGGGGAACCAGTCCTTGTGATAGTTTATTCCAGGGTGGGAGGGAGTTTATTTCAGACGTTATTGTTAGTCGGCGGCTGAAACTACAAAGTGTGCATTGATAAACCATGAAAGATCTTTATTTCAGCAGCTGTTTGTCTGAACTTTTTTTTTTATTTTTTTTTTTTACTTTCTTTCTTTTCAAATCCCTGTCTCAGACAAAGATTTGTGTTTTTTGTTTTTCTGTGTTCTTTTAGAAAGGTGTTTTGTTTTCTGTATGTTTGAAATTACAATCTGGGAATGTTTTGCTTTGATTGTGATTTATGTAGAAGTATTCCTGTTTTATTGGCTGTGATTGCATATTTGGTCCTGGTGTTCGTGCAGGGTGCGTATTGTGTTATGACTGAAATTCATCCATTGGCCTGATGAGGCCCTGAGCCTAGTAATGTATTTTATTTTATTTTTAATTTTTCTGGGTAATTTCCACAGATGCAGTTTTTGCATATATCACATTCTCTGCCGTCAAACTATTGTTTTCCATTATGACACTTAAAAATATTTTCAAAAATATAAAACCAAACTTAAAAGGTCTCGCCAACCACCATGACGATTACTTCTGTTTTTAGAAGTGGTCATGGTGTTTGGAATCTGTACAGAGTTTCTGCTTTAAACGCTACATATACAGAGCAAGCTGCACTTTTGTCCTGGTGCTAGGTCCACCCTTCTGATGGGTAGATTGGGCAGCCAGGAACAAATCCCACATTACCCAATATAAATTCTGTGCAAAAATGACATTGTCCGCGCACACTGCAACAGATATGATAATCTCCCTTGCAGGTAGCAAGACCTGCGAAAGTGAATGCGCATCTCCCCTCCCTCCCGTTTCCAAATTGATATATAGATTTTCTCTCTATTGTAATAAAAAAAGCCTTCTCTCATTGGCCCACAGCGAGTGCATCCTCTCTGAGCCGGTGAAACGATAAAATCGAGTGCTTCTCTGTGATAAGCATTCGATTGGACCGCGGTTGAGAAGACTTGACGACAGACAGCAGGTGAAATTGAAGCGAGTTGGACCTTGCCCAGCGCTAGCTGTAAGTTAAGTGGCACTGTCACTATGTGGGGTCTTTGCCAAACTCGCGAAGATCCTCCATAGATGCAGCCGTCATTGGTGGCAGCTGGCTAGATTGCCGCTGTAGCGCTGCCCAGAGCCTAAGAGAGTCCAGAAAAGGCAAGTTTCTGTGTTTACCAGACTTTATAGCTTCTTCAGTGAGCTGCTCATCAGACCAGGAAGTTATTCACCAATATCTTTCCCTGCAGCGAAATGTAGCACAGGGATTTCTGAGAATTGTGCTTACGTTTTTAGGTTTCTCCTGTAGTACCTTTTTAAATATTTTTTTTAATTTACATTTTTTTTTTTTTTTCTAGTCTTTTTTTTTTTTGAAAATAAGAATCTGCTGCAGCTAAGCGCTGTGAGTTACTGATGGAAAATGACTTCACAGCCCGTATTATTAATCCACATATCGCTGCTCCGTATCAAGGTTATTTTAATGATGTGTATACAGAAAGGGCAATAAGTCAGACTGTATCTGAATGCCAAGCAGTTCACACCGCTCACACTGCGCACACAATGGTTTGCATAGAATGGCCATTGTGGCATAATGCTTTATGACAGATTAATACACTTCAGTTTGGAGCCTCTGAAGAAGTTTTATGATCATGCCTTTACTTATCTGATTTACAATAGTCATTAAAGGGTAAGAGCAGTCTGGGAGTCCCAGCAAGGCTGTGAGGTCACTTCCTGTGCATGTGTCTCTGGTAGTCCCAGCAAGGCTGTGAGGTCACTTCCTGTGCATGTGTCTCTGGGAGTCCCAGCAAGGCTGTGAGGTCACTTCCTGTGCATGTGTCTCTGGGAGTCCCAGCAGGGCTGTGAGGTCACTTCCTGTGCATGCACAGCGTGTCTCTGGGAGTCTCAGCAGGGCTGTGAGGTCACTTCCTGTGCATGCACAGCGTGTCTCTGGGAGTCCCAGCAGGGCTGTGAGGTCACTTCCTGTGCATGCACAGCGTGTCTCTGGGAGTCCCAGCAGGGCTGTGATGTCACTTCCTGTGCATGCACAGCGTGTCTCTGGGAGTCCCAGCAGGGCTGTGAGGTCACTTCCTGTGCATGCACAGCGTGTCTCTGGGAGTCCCAGCAGGGCTGTGATGTCACTTCCTGTGCATGCACAGCGTGTCTCTGGGAGTCCCAGCAGGGCTGTGAGGTCACTTCCTGTGCATGCACAGCATGTCTCTGGGAGTCCCAGCAGGGCTGTGATGTCACTTCCTGTGCATGCAAAGTGGGCCACAAATACGTTGGGTTCTGGCTGTGACAGATCAGCAATAAAATTGGAAATCCCAGCTAACCATTAATAAAACTAGACCGTTTGCACAGAAATGTGGATATCTGACTTTCTAAAAAGCGTTCGGATCCATGTGACATTTAGAAGCTGCCGAAGCAGGTGTGCCCTGGATATGTGACTTTTTTGAAGTGCGTTACCACCCTTATTCCCATGGTGACATGCTTGTTATTGGCACTAAAGGGGTTAAAGTGGCCCTGTGGTGGGTTTTGTTTTGTTTTCCTTATATTTTAATAATACTCCCTCCCTTGCCAGTTGCTTTTATTGTTATACATTATCTTTTCTTCTTGAGCCAAATCTCATATTTGGGGGCATCTGTTTTGTTCTCCTTGGTCTGTAATGTCTGTCATTTTCCTTTTTTGTGGAATTGGTTCTCTTATTACTATTATTATTGTTTTATTTATATAGCTCCATCAGATTCCGTAGCGCTGTACAATGGTTCTATTGATGGATTATGGGTAAATCTAACGGCATGTTTACAGAACCTTGCTTTAAGCCCCGTCCACTGACACATTTTGTCGACCTGTCTGCTTTACACGAGGACGTACGAGTCAAAACTCTTCTTTATGTATTTTTTGTGTGAAAATGAGCGCTCAGTTTAAAGGGATTAAACCTTCTCAGTCACGGGAAGCTACAGAGAAACAGATTTAGTAAAGTTATTTTTGTTGACGAGCCGCTTTACGTCATTCAAGCATGGTAAATCTGTAACATGGTGACTGTCTATTTCGTGTATATTCAAGATATATTTTCCTCCCTGAGGACATTTCTACCCTGGAAATGGTGACTGACGCTTGGGACTGTAGGATTTGCCTAACCATGAAAGGGTTAAATAAAAATTTGGCTAGTCACCTGGTCTTGTACCTGAACAGGCTTGTTTTTATTGGCAGCCTTGGACAGTGTGCTCTACCAGTACTCTGCCACGTGTCTCTTGTGTAGGTAAAAGTTTCCACGCCCGTGCTGCCCCAGGCTAGGTATGTGGCCCGACCCTGCCGTCTGATTAGACAACGTGACTGAACGAAGCACTATACAGGCTCTCCTCGTTATACTGCCTGCGTGAATGCTGACACCTAGTGGTAGATCTTTCATATGCTGCTGGGTTGACAATCCTTTTTTTCAAATTTTTTTTTTGGTATCGTTTTGTTTCAATATTTCCAGCTAGAGTGTGACAATTGGGGAAGCATTATCTCTTACAGGTGGAGGTAGTGGGGGCAGTGTTGGTACTCACAGGTGGAGGGTATTGGTGGGGTAGTGTTCCTTTTCTTGCAGGTGGGCAAATAGGCGCGGCCATGTTGGTACTCTTACAGGTGGGTATATTGGAGGGGCAGTGATGGGAATCTTACAGGTGGGTGTATTGGAAGGGCAGTGTTGGTATTCTTATAGGTGGGTGTGTTGGAGGGGCAGTGTTTCTATTCTTACGGTGGGTGTATTGGAGGGGCAATGGTGGGATTCTTACAGGTGGGTGTATTGGAGGGGCAGTGATGGGAATCTTACAGGTGGGTGTATTGGAGGGTCAGTGGTGGGATTCTTACAGGTGAGAGCTTTGGAGGGGCAGTGTCGGCATTTGTGTTGGTATCTTGGCACACCTTTGACATCACGTCTTGATAACTGGGTGGGTAAACTCGTCCATACTAATATAAAAGGAAGCCGTAGTCCATAGGATCTCATGTCTAACCTTGGTATGGGCCAGCATTGTTTTGTTTTCATTTAAAATGGAAATCTCCCTCTGCACCATTCTCTCTTCCTCCTGGCACACCATCAATGCCACTTCGGTCAGGCCCTTTCAAATACCTATTTTGATCCTTTCATTGCCAGGATGTTGCTAGTGCCGTTTGCCCCCATGTCTAATCTTTATGGGGCCAATTTCTCCTCTGTGTTTGAGTTTCTTCAAGTCCTGCTTGTTAAATATTTGCCTATTTTCGCTCTGTGAACTTTGTTAATCACAGCGAAAGGGTGAAGTGACTGCATGCGAAGCATTGACACTGCAATGCTCTGTGTTGTTTGCTTTATACAAAGGGTTTCTGCAGAACGCCAGCCATTCTTTGTTTGTGTAAGGAGGGCCGATGAGACGGACTGCGTGCCAAGGACCCTTTCCAATGAGCACTTCATTCCTCTGTCTCCATGTAATCATAGGTGCCTGGTAAGCTGCACGGATCGCTGTGTTTTGGAATCGCAGAGCCAAAAGTGTCTATTTCGAGCCAACCAGCAAAATCAACAAATATCACTGGACCCTGCTATTTGCACTGAGCGCACCCTCTGTAAAGAACAGCCCTGGGGGGGCTTGCTTTGCTCTGTATTTATTTACAAGTGATCATAAAATGAACATTTCCTTAAGAATAGTGGAGACTGCTTTGCAGGTTACACATGGGTTTCATTATTTAAATACGAACATGAACTGAATTGCAGAATATATGCTAAAATAATTGCATTAAAAAAAATCTCCCAACTTGTTTACTGTAATCACTTGGCTTAATTAGCCACAATTTCGCAATGCTATGTTCCAATTTGCTGTTTAATGAACAATCCCTGTGTGTTTGTGTATGGTGCTACAGAAAGCACAGCCTGTTTCCTTGTAAAGGATCGAGGAGGCTTTGCCTGCAGTGCAGATTTAACATGCGCATTCTTGAATGTTCTATTCCTGATAGCCAGATAACACTTGGGTGTTTATAACCTGGGATTAGACGACTGTTCAGTTCCCACGTGATTAATCACCTGCTTTGTAAGCTGGAATGTCCACATACAGTAACACGATTAAGGTTTAGGTCACAAGCCTTCCGTGATGTTAACTATACAACTGAATGAATTTTGCCATTTCTCCTTAATTGTATTTACTAAAGCAACTCCAGTCCCCTTTCAGAATCTTTATGAAATGGTCAGAATGATTACGTGGCAATGTCACCTAAATAAAAATATATCATGAGACAAAATAGGGGCTGCTTTGCCTTATGGACAAAGTTCAGGTTTTCCTGCCATCAGTGTCAGTTAACACCCATTGCTAGCAGCAGCTGTAGGAATGAAGTATCTTCGCTCACATTGCTGGAGCTAGTTGACAAAGTATCCCATAGTTTTGTGTTTTTTGGTTTTTTTTTTATGTCCCAGTAGACCTGTGTTGGTCACTCGCAAGCAGCGAGGCGGCCTCCCCACCGATGAAACACCATCTCATGAACTGCCAATTAGCCGGTAGAAAGGATGTGTCCAGGAAAACACGTTAGGTCCTGATTGTAGCTCGGTTCTCCTTGACTGAAAACTCTCCACTCTTATTTTATCTTTTACTACATCATTTTGCTATGCAGTGGGTTAAACTCGGATCTTTCTCTTGTTCGATTTGTCTGCTTGAGTTCACCTGTTAAATCCAGCTTTACATTCTGAATGTTGGATAATCCTACTTCAATTTGATTAGTCACGTTCATTTTACACACCATGTCATCAATCCTTTCCTTTGTTTATTTCGTGCACAGTATGTCATTGGCTGAGCTTTCTGAATTTTGACTCGTATGTTTCTATTTTTTTTAGGCACTTGCGGCCAATGCCGGTATTGGATTTGCGGTGGCAGAGCCACAAGTAGCCATGTTTTGTGGCAAATTAAACATGCATGTAAATATACAGACTGGAAAATGGGAGCCTGATCCATCTGGAAGCAAAAGCTGTTTTGGAAGCAACGAAGAGGTCTTGCAGTATTGCCAAGAGGTGAGCGGCCGCCGGGCTAACTCAACCGATTGTGAACGACTTAATGAATTTACATATAAATAACAGGTTTAAATAAAACTCAAAGATAAACATGTAAGAATAGAAAGCTTTGACGTTTTCCTGACATGAGTGCGGTGATGAGATTATGTTAACACTGGCAATTTCTCACATACTCTATTCTAACCTGTTTCCCTATTTACGATAGGTCTACCCAGAACTGCAGATCAGCAATGTGGTGGAAGCCAATCAGCCTGTGAGCATCGATAACTGGTGCAAGAAGGGGAAGAAGCAATGCAAGGGCCATTCACACATCGTGGTGCCATTCAAGTGTCTGGGTATGTCCATCTTTCAGGCCGCTCAGCAAGACTAGGAATGACTGCAGTTTGCAAGTGTTAACCTCGTGCGGCGGTTTGCTTTAGTTAATGACTTCCACACTCTGAATCATAGCTGTGCTGATCTCAGCCACTCTGTCCTTGTAGATTGTCATAATTGTAACTGCTTGTGTGTTTGAAGTCATGATCTTCCAGTCTCACCTGTATCCCTTCCCTGCTTCATTTACACTGTTTCTTGTGTAAATGTAAGTGAACGTGAAACAGTGTGTCTAGACTCTGAGATGTCAGCAGAGCTCCGTAATGAATCGTTGTAGAGAATATTCCTGGTTATGTTGTGACAGGGGCAATTTACCCGTTAAAGGTTGATTGTAAAACGCATTGCCACTGGTGGCTGAATTGTCAGTGTACAGCTGGGGACTGGTGTAATCCCAATGTGTGAATGTCCTGTCTCCTTCCCAGAATATATCCAGTTTCGCGTCAGCCATTCTGTATTGATACATCTGGATATATCTAATGTAGTAAAGGAACTCTAGCGTTAGGGATATGAACATGTATTCTTAAAACTATAGTGTCCTGCTCTCTGTTTAGGACTTACTTTTCCTATTGTGGCGGGCAGTTCTCTCCGGACACCCCACCTCCTTGGCTGAGATCATCGATCATGATGATCTCAGACAATATAGTCTCAATAGGGAAGCATTGGGAGATTAGTGCACTGTGTCAGTCAGCATCACCTTACGGAGAGACATTGAGTCAGTGCATTTCTAAATGGAGCTCTCATAGAGAGCTCTCAGAGCGTGGAGACGCAGAACATTGGACCAAACAAAGGTAGTCCATCTCCCTCTACAGTAACTGCAGCTGGCATTAGGGAGCAATGTAAACACTATTTTTAGTATTGGTTTTATGTCCCGGAACCACTACAGCACTATAGTGTCTCCTTTAACGCTTTGCTAGAAGCTCCTTTTATTTCCAATCGCTACAGAATAACAACCGGTTAGGAAAGGAGATAAAACATTTAACCAGTATAAACCTCCATTGATGTTTAGTGTCTTAAAATGCTAATAGTATCCTTTCCTCATCATGGTCAGTATATTATTTTGGCATTTAACCCCTTTTGAGGCATGAGTGCTGCCAAATGACTGTGGTAGACTGGCCACATATATCCTGAATTCTCCCCCTGAGTCTCAACAGCTAGCTCTCTAATGGAATTATTTGCAGGGCTCTGTGTGACATCTCGCGCAGGTTCAATGTGTTGGCGTTAATTAAATAGCACAATACATCTGTCATGTTTCTGGGTGTGTACATGGCCTTCCGAATGTGACGCCAGCCATAGTTTTTATACTGTGATGAATCAAAGCCCCTTATTCACTGAATCATTATAGAACTGTCATATTAGCCACTTCTTACAAATGATCTGCATCGTTCACTTTCGTATTGATATCCGTTACCATAGAAACCAGTCATTGAGAGCGTCACATTTATTTTACAGATTGCACTTTGCACATGCGGTTGTTTTTAAGACTTAGAATAAAAGATTTTGTGACTGTGTAAGAATGACCAAGTACTGCTTAATTCTATATCCTGCAGTGTTAATCGGCAGAATATAAATTAATCCTAGAACAACTCTCTTTCTCTTGGCAAATACCTTCTGGGACTACCACTCCCAGAATCTCATGGGTGTTTCAGTGCTAAACATACAGTCATTACGGACCCAAATTACGATGGAGGAACTATGTTTGTCTCATATCGGATAAAATGTATAAATGGGCAGAGGTTCCGCCACTACATCCTGCCATTCCCTGTTGAGGATGCAGAGGAATGAGAAGTTTAGCAAAGCTATCTACCCCTTGGTGCTACAATGTACGCGGACAGAGGGGAGGGGGTATTGGTACAAAGACCTCAAAGTGACAGTACTACTTTTAAAGAATATAAATTTAATCCTTTTTACAAATTTGGAATTTGAGTTGTAGATTCAGCAAACTAAAAAAAGCCTTAAATGTTTTTAGTAGACCACTGCGTAAGAAAGGCATTGTCTTAAATTACTGTAGACATTGATCACGCCTGGCATGATCAGTGTCGCCATGAATTATAGCTGCCCTTACTGACCTGCTTTTGTGAATGCTGGCTGGGATTATCTATGCACAACCGTTTATTATAAATTGACCTAGGGTCCTGACAGACACTTCGCAAATCATGTGGTTGGTTCCAAATCAGCATTACATTTAAATAAACTGCCTTAACCCCAACACCTTTACACCTCTCATGTATTTCACCAGCAGACTGCGTTAATAGCAGTGGGTTTATTCCTCTTAGAAAATCAAAATCTATTGAAGGTTCAATGTCTTTCTCTTTGCCGTTTAAAAAAAAACTAAAAAATTTTTTGGATTAGACTTTTTTTTTTTTTTTTTTTTAAAGCCATCCAAAGGAGATCTTCACTGCTCGTACAATTAAAATAAAAAATTAAAAATTATGGTGGGGGAAGCAACAAACTTGTTGTAGCCATGATTTGCTTTACATATTGGGAATGCAGAGTTTTTTTTATAAGAAAATCCCTGCTAAATGGACAAACTAATAATTTCCTATCCCGTCTGCGCACTTAACATGGAGGAATATTTGCAAGAGATGTTCTCAAGGTTTAAGCTTTCATTTCAGTGTGTGCCGGGGCAGTACGTGGTGTTCAGTTTGTGTCTGCGTGTCATACCATTTAACCATTTGAATGACATTGTGCTTTTTAGTGGGAGAGTTTGTCAGCGACGTTCTGCTGGTTCCGGAGAGATGCAAATTCTTCCACAAGGAGAAGATGGACGTGTGTGAGAGCCATCAGCACTGGCACAATGTCGCCAAGGAGGTAACGAGTCCCACTTGGCCCAGTCGGGTTACGCACCTTTCCTGTCAGACTTGCTAAATATATTGTGAATCACAGCAGTGGCACGCTTATTAACTACATACCCCCACCATTCCCTGACAACCGTGTTAATATTGTCGACTAAAACAATTCAGATTACTAAAATATGACTAAAACTAAAATGGTATTTTATTCAAAAGACTGACTAACACAAAATTAAAATTTGCCTCTAAAATGAACACTGCACAGAGGGGCTGTGGAAGGGGAAAAAGACAGACCTGGGCTTGAGAAAGAGACACCTAGAAGGGCTGTGGAAGGGGCAAAAGAGACAGACCTGGGCTTTGGAGAGACACCTAGAGGGGCTTAGAGGACACAAAGAGACACTGGAGGGACTGGAGAAGGGGCAAACGCAATAGAGGCTGTAACTAAACCGATTAGATTTTAGTTTTGTCGACTAACATGTTTTGGAGATTTAGCCGACTAAAACAATTCAGATGACTAAAACACGACAAAAGACTATGACTAAAAATAAACTGAAACTTGCAGCCAAAATTAACATTGCCTGACAGCCTGCATTGGAAATATCATTCACAAACATTACGTTTGTTTGGAATTAGTTGCTGTTTCCGATAACCTGATCTATAAACTGAAATAATGATTCTGCTCGTTGGCCTCTCTGTACAATTTGGGTTCCCTTGGAGCTGGTGTGACTAAAGGATTTAAAAAGGGAGTTGGTTATAATTCATGCTTTTTTTTTTTTTTTTTTAATACTAAAATCTCGAATATAATCCTAGTGATAATGTAAATATATTCATCTGATTGCTATCCTGATGATGTCCAGAGATGGAAACTTTGAAGTGTTCTCTTGTTAGTGTAGCAGCTTTTTATGTCACAATCCGTTACTTGACCGAATCCTGTTCTCTCCCAGGCCTGTATGACCGAAGTCATGGTCTTACACAGCTATGGCATGTTGCTGCCATGTGCCGTCGACCAGTTCCGTGGCACAGAGTACGTGTGCTGCCCTCAGGCCAAGATCCTCGACGAAGCTCTCTCCAAAGAGGAAGAGGAGGAAGACGAAGATGATGAAGAGGATTATGACACTTACAAGAGGTCAGTCCGTTCCACTGCTCTGTCTGATTTCTTGGGAGCTAGGGTGTTTAATTATTAAAGCTGAAAATTTGTGTAAACCTCGATCTGCCTCACTCTTCCAGAAGAGCAGATAAATCACATGAAACCATGCAAGAAAGAGAGGAAGATCAGATCAATGTTGCAGAGTAGTCCTGAATCCCATAAGTAGGTGAAGGTCCTGCTGCCATTAAAGGGACACTCTCAAAGTACTATAACTACTGTCTTACTGTGTAGTGATCTTATTGTAGGGGTCATGGTGTTAGAAAGCTGTCCCTTTTTATTTTTTTTATTTTTTTTTATTTCCCTTGGATTTCAAACTGTATACCTCTTAATGTTGGAAGTCTAGTTTCCACATATAGCCGTCCAGGTAACCGAATGGCCACGTTAGTGTTTTCACTGAAAACGTTTTGGCCCAAAGTCACCGAAATCTGTTTCCATTACACTGTTGTTTTTGTGAATAAACCCCTCCGACTCCCCCACAGTCTCCTTGTCCTTGTCTGATCTGCTTCCCCCTCTTTTCAACTTTGATTTTAGCATAACGTTTTGCAAATCTTTGTTTACGTCAGTGTTTGAGATAAGCAAATGTATTTTATTGGTTTAGTCCTTCTCCTAAAAGCTTTGTATATTCAGTGTTTGCTGCAATATCCTTTGCGTCCTGTTTCCCTCGCTAAATCTCTTGCCGTTGCACTTTGCATACTGACTTCTCTCCCATGTGTTCCTGCTACCAGTGAATTTCCCACTGAGGCGGACATAGAGGACTTCACGGCTGCTGTGGAAGAGGATGAAGATGAGGTCGAGGAGGTGGAAGATGAAGATGAAGTAGTTGAAGACCGTGATTATTACTACGATAATTATAAGGATGAAGATTACAATGAAGAAACTGCAACAGAGGCCACAAATGAGAGAACAGTCTCCGGGAAAGACGTAATCACAGACGTCAAAGGTATTAACTAGTGAACACGTTTTTAATGCAAAAAAAATCATTACTCAATTACATTTTTACACTCCATTTTTAGACCCCTTTCTTTAAAATCATCACCCCACCCTCCTATATTTGTTTTTCATTGTATTTAGTGTTTCACAGTTTCTGGACAGGCTAGCCCCGGGTTAGAATGACTGAATTTAAGGCTCTCCGAATTCTTACACAAAGTCTAAATTGTAAATTTCACATCTTGGGCCAAGATGTCTTTGAACTTGGCCTAAAATTTTAAATGCAAACCCTGTATGATGATACTGTTTTAAGCAGATCATATTCACTGAATCATGTGTATATACAATATATTTGAGTATGTATATTTTTTAGATTTCTCATTGGGCTACATTGGGAACTCTGTGATTGGTCAGCCACAAAGTCTGGATGGAGTTAGAAGGGGTGGGCTTGTAAAGACAGCAGACATGAGATCTGCAGTTTATATGTGGTTTTTAGATATAACTCCAATGGGGAAAAAATGCATAATTTCATTTGGGTATATCTACCAAATAGTGATTTTTATTTTGTATTTGCGCAGTGGAGTGTCCCTTTTAAACCTGGGGTGTCATATTCATGGGTGTGAAGTAAAGACTCTTCTGTGGGTAGAATAGTGCTTTAAAGATGTGAACGGCTCCCATCCGCTCACAATCAGGGACCTGTGCCCACAGCTGCTAAAGGAAGGTACACTGCAAGATATGGTTTGGAGTAATTGGAGGTGTTTTACTAAATGGCAAATTGTGGTGACTTGATAACCTCAAAGTAGCAGATTACATCCCCTTTCTCCCAGGAAATTATTTAACCGTTTAGACCTTCCAATTGTGTGTTTTGGGTTCTGAATTATTTGTTTTGTTTTTCTTTGTGCGGTGTCCTTTTTCTTCATTCTCGGTCAGCCTCACAGTTTACATCAAAGAGCTCACCACCTGAAATGGAATTAGTTTATTAAACCCCTCCGTTTAGGTGATTAGAGACTTGTTCTTTTCCTTGGTTGAATCCTTCTAATGCTTCCCTACAACAGACCTCAACCAGAATTAAAATAATCATAAAAATGGTATCTTAGATTATATATATATATTACATATCTCTCTCTCTATATATCTATCTATCTCTCTCTCTATATATCTATCTATCTCTCTCTCTCTCTCTATATAGAGAGAGAGAGAGAGCGATTAAGCCCTGTTTTAACACCAGTATAGTGCCAGAAAAACAGTCTGGTACACTACAGAAGGATTTCAATTAAGTAAAATAAATACAAAATCATAAATTACTTTCTTGCCTATAGTGTCCCTTTAAGCAATCTTACACATGGAAACTAGTGAAGTTAATCATTTTCTCCTGTGCTGTACATGTGACTCATCATGTTTACAAATCTTAAAATTAAAACACTCAAAAAATGGTTTTCATCCCAAAAGTTCCCATTTCCAATCTTAGTGTAAGCCACCAAACTGGGTGCCAGTGTCCTTCTTCAGGATTTACAAACTGAATAACTGCAGTCTGTCTGCGGGAATAACAGAATCTAGACTGGTACTCTGAGAATCTGCGGTGTGATGCTAATTGGAATCCTGTAGAATTCCTGTTTTGGTTGGGTTTGATTCTTTGCTTTCCAACCCCTATCTGATATACTTTAAGGCATTTCTTTAATATTTTAAAGATGGTTACAATTAAGTGACTGAAATAGATTCACCTTTAATTATAGATGAAAAATCAAAAATTACAAATCGCCAATATGGTGTAGCGCTTTATATGAACAAAAATGGAGGTTAACTACCTTAAAACAGTATAGTGCAGTGGTTATGGTATCTTCGATGAAATGCCTAAAAATGAAAAAGTCCAATAGTGTAAAAATAAAAAATAAATAAAAAAAGGAACCATTCATTGTTATGAGCTAAAAACCCAGCTCAAGGATGAAAAGCCAGTAGGTCCGTTTACGCGACCTTCCCTTTCTTTTGTCTTATAAATAGGCTCAAACGAAGTATATGGTGTAATATTGTATATCCAATATAAGGATCATGCTCAATAACAGCGCAATGTGTAGTTGAGGACTACACTCCTATATAAGCAGGAACCAGGTGCCAAGTGTGTACAAGAGCACTATTTTATTAAAGGATCTATCCCAACATAGAATAAAAACAAAGAATTTCAAACTTACTAGCTATATATAACATAAACACACTATAAAGGCAAAGCCCGCAAGTCTTATCTGTCCCCAGGATGCATTTTGCCAAATTCTCCTTGGCTTCCTTAGCTGGGCAGTCAGTCTGTGTGTAAACTCTTCAGCCTATAGGGCATTTATCAAGAAGCCATTTGATATAATTTTATTTTTATTTAGAAATGGCAATGTTTTCTAATTAACTAAAAGGAACATAATGCAACATTTAACCAGTTGATGAGTTTTTATTTATTTTAAAATAAATAAATAAAAAATTACAAAACCATAGTGGTAGAGAATGGGGAAAGAAGTTGAAATTTTTTATAAATTTTTTTTTTTTTAAAGATTTTAAAAGTAACTAGTCTCCCTTGTGAAATAATTGTTTGGTCCATTATGTTAATCACCTGATCACTGGACGCGAACGTTGGGAGATGAAAACACGTTCATTGTAAACTCCCTATGGATTCTTGGTGTTTCGTTAATATGGCTGTCCGTGCTCACTGCTGCAGGCTCTGTCCCAGGAAAATAAAACAATTAGCCAGAAAGATAGAAAACCTATTAAGGTTTTTTTCTGTTGAGAGCTTTTACCTGAATGCTTTTAGTCTGACAGCTACAAATGCCTGGGAATATTTAATGGAGAGGAGGCGGCACAGGACAAAAATCAATTCTCGTCGCGCTCGCTGAATCTTGCTGGTAAGATTTGTCAATTTCATGAGACATTGCCAGGGACTGCAGATAATTCCCACAGACATAGAGCAGCTGGGAGAACTCAAATCCTTGTGCGAGGGACAGAAAGATCTCCAGACATTGCTAAATCTGTAGCTCATTTTAAATGTAGGATAGAATCTGTAAAGCAATCCTCGTCCTTTTTATAAAACTGAATTATTGCTCTGTCGCCCCTTCTGGTAATGAGGGGTAATGGGGGGGGGAGAAATATCATGAAAAACTGAATTTTAGCAGTGTATACGATCTGTATAGTTGTAATGTCTGTATCCAGTTAGTGTTCAGTTCTTGGCCTTTTCAGTTCTTTGAAATGATTTTAAAGCTAATCAACATAATACTGCCTTGATGAATCAACATACTACTAACTACTTGTGCTGCACCCTAGTGTCTAGTTCCTGTAATGCAAATGAATTAGTCTCTGTGATGAAACCCTTCCTTCACCTGATTCCAGCGATGGAACAGTTGCTGATTTCTCAGATTATTTTTTATTTTTATTTATTTTTTTTTACACACAAACCTCATTTGGAACTTGTGATGAATGTTGCCATTTAACAGTTAACCCATCTTCTCACAGCTGTCTGCTCCCAAGAGGCCATGACTGGTCCTTGCCGGGCCATGATGCCACGATGGTACTATGACATCCGACAGAGAAAATGTGTCCGGTTTATATATGGCGGCTGCGGCGGAAACAGGAACAATTTTGAGTCTGAGGACTATTGCATGGCTGTGTGTAGAATAATGAGTAAGTTTGGACTCTTCCAGTTTGCGTCCTCTCTGCCGCCCAATGAGATCTGCAAGCTTTGATCTGCCATTTTGATTCTGGCGCATCCTTGCGTTTCATGTGCGTAACTCTTTTCATTCCACAGCTGCTTGTTAACATTTTGCTATAGTGCTTGATGGATAAATGACATCTCTAAGGTGACAGGGACTCCCCCGTTTCCTTACTGATATAACAAAATCATGCCGAACTTGGTCAACGCTCATGACTGTCCACTTCCAATTACAGCTGCGCTTCACTGGCGCTTAAACTCAATACATATGTAATTAGTGTGCTAAGGAACGGTGTGTGTGTGTGACACTGTAGGTAGTTTATATAATATGTACACAGTGTTGGAAAAATCACCAACAAATGTGTAGATTGCTCCTTCACACTCTGAATTAGAATGGCTGCTCACCCCAATGCCGCAGTTTTAAATCTCTGCATCCTTGGTGACTGGTGCGCAGGTAGAGTTGCGGGGTTCAACCAAGTGCTTTGGAAGCGAAATGCATGTTCAGATGGCCACTCAATACACACTGGATTGCAGTCTTCCTTACCAGTGGTATTGCGGTAATGTTCGCTAGGTCAGAATACTAGAATGTTAAACTGGTCTCTTGTCGCTGTACATGGCTCGATTTGTGGTTAGTATGATATATAGATGACCTTTAACACTATTTAAATTAATGTCTGCTCAGGCCTGACAAGTCCACTTTGAGCAAATTAATGTAGACTATAGTTTTTATGTCTGGCTTTATAGATACAGAAGAGCAGAGTTTTAATGATTGATATCCCCACCGTCCTTCTTTCCAATTAAAACATTTTCCTATGATTCTCCGGTATTATGAAATTGTCAGTACTTCACTAATCTTTGTGCGTTCGTCACAGAATGCTAGCAATCATGCCCACTAAAAAGATTACTGTACGGGAGAATCACAGGATAAGCTCACTTGCTTAAAAAGCCTGGTCTGTGCCACTTCAGAGTTCACTTGAATGTTCTATATATCAAAATCTATAAAATCTTGGCTATCTGTGCTATTCTGAATTAGACTGACATGTTCTGGGTTAAAAACAAAAAAGTCTTATTGCGAGGCTGTTTTTGGTCTCCACCAGTAGGAGTTGCACCAATTGGAGATGTCATTTATCCTTCCAGAGAGCTTGGATCTCCCTAAATCAGAAACTGCATTGGCAAAAAAGTACTTGGGGAGTTCAGATGTTTTCCCCCCCAGCTTTTGTGGATGAAAGAGTTAACTCCTGTACATTGCGTCTTTCCCAGTTTCCTGCAAAGTTTGTCCTCCTCTCGTTTTATCTTTGCGTCGTTGCTTGTTTTTGCCAGAATCTTTACCTGAATTCTGTAAAGCGCCCTTGCTTGTTTGTGTGATTTTTCAATTTTGGAACCCATTTTTCAGTGTTCCTTCTGTCTGCTTCGCGTTTTTCGCCTTTAATTGAGCCTATCGCCCGTTCACCTTGTCTGCTGTTTATGATTAAATATATATATGGACGCCATAAGTATATATTTAACGTATCCTGTGTGTCTCATTATAACTTGCTGCTTCTGCGATTACTCTCTTACTAATGTGACATCCTATGCTTTAAAATCAAGAAAATTCAAACCTGCAGTCTGATCCTTTGCGCTACATTCCCTGCTCTGTCTGTCTGTCTTCTCCCCTAAATGGAATTTCTTATTTGTACGATTGTTGGTGCTATGGCGGGCCTGTCTCCTGCCTTATCTCTCATTGCAATAGATTTATCCTTGTTTTTACTCTATGCTGTTCTTTCATTTAGAATAAAATACCGAAATGCTCTGCATTGTCTTAGATAAATAATATCAAATGATTTAAACTATGTAACTGGCTCAGCAGAGACCTTTATTCTTATAATCCTAATGTTGGCCTACGATTGGCCCAGATAAAAATGTGAGTGACTATGCTGAGCCAATCAAAATGAAACAAACTTGTACTGTGACCTGTGTGAATGTTGACTTTCCAGTATTTTATTAGTGAAATTGGAGGTCTAACATCAAGCTCCTACTTGTGAACATTGTGGGGGGAGGGGAGAATTTGGATTTAATTTTGGTTACTGTACATCTATACTGACATATCTCTGCTTCTCTCATTTCACCTTCAAAGACCCCTTACTCCCTAAACATAATGGGGGACAGGGGTGTGGGGATATTAATTAAACTGTCGTTTCTTATTGAACTCTAACTTGCTAAAATGATCAAACCGTGACTATAGTGGAGAATTTTTCCAGGTCTGCTATTGGTAACTTGATTTTTGCTTTTCTGGGTTAAAATTTCTTTACATTATGGAGTTCATCGCATAAAGCCATCCCTATTCTATAAGGGAAATATTGTTCCCCAGGTTAATGTGGTCACATTGGGTTATAGCCAACATGAAGAATCTGATTTCCACAGTGCGCCCCGTTTGCCGATCGAATTCCAGGCTAATTGTTACAGAACAAAGACACACACCCACTGTTTTCAGCGCGCGCGCAAACACCATAATTCTCACTGTGACACAAGTATTCGATGGTGATGTAAATACTCTATCTCCTCCAACAGGTTTTATTAAGTTATGTTTTTCGTGATTTCTATTTATTTGTCCTCTGGCAAATAACAAATCCCCCACTTTGCCTCCTTTATATCCCTTTATCTCCTGGGATATCCGTGTAGGGCTGGTAACACATTCTTTTGGCTGGCCACATGTCCTGATCTTACGATTTGCGTGCTCCTCTGAACCGTGGAGAGGAAAGGACCGTGCCAAACGCACCCATCACATGACCAAGCTGGGGAAACTATCGTAACACAGACTGCCTTTGTTTCTACAGTACAGGATTTGTACTTTTATAATCCGGCTGCTAAATTCAAAAATGGACTAAATCAGAGATGAGTAGCCTGGACACCCTCAGGCAGCCTGAGGTTAATGGGAAATGTTCTCATTTGGCTAGTCGTGGCTGTCTAGTGTGAGGTCTGTTTAACGAGACACTCTGGAGGATGCGCTACGTTATTAATGATGCACAGTCCTGCTTAATATTCCATTTGTGTTTCCACTCCGAAGCTTTCCTGTATCTATGCACCCCCATTCTCTCTCCCTCCATATGCCATGTTCCCCAGTCTCCCTAAACTTAGCAACTTCTCTCACTATGAATTCTTTCACATTAAGTGAGTAAGCAAGTGCCCACATTAACATCACTCCTTCATGGGTAATGGAATGCCATTGGTTAAGAGGTTAATGCTGGTCATTCGAGAGTCCCTGCACTATTGCTGTAATTACTTTAGCCACACATCACACACTGCTGGAACGTGTACAGTAAGTTTACATTGCCTCTCACTACTTCACGGCAGCAGCCAGCCGCAACGGCATATTGCCTGAGCTTTGAGAGTTGGAGTTCAGTGGCAGCCAATGCGTTGTAGAAACTAAAGGCTACATTTTTGCAGATAATGTGTTTTTATTGAGATTGCCAAATACAAAATCTCAGCAGCTTTTCTAAACTTCTCCTCATGATCAGCCATTTTCCGACCACCGACTAGAAAAAGGTTTGTTTGCTGCGTGATATAATATCTGACACATGGTGTAAAAGGATCTGATTGTGACAATGTGTCGGCTTTCTGTTCTGCGAGACCTCATACTGCACAGTCAGTGAGAATAGAACTACTTGTCGATACCGCTGGCAATATATAGGTTTCATGAGAGCGCAGGAAAAGGCCAGAATTACTTTATTCCCACTCACTCACTTTTTTTTTTTCATCCAGATTCTTGAACACAGTTGGTTATATTTTGACATAAATGTTTTAAAATATGAACATAATATGAAGTTTATTTTTGAAAAGGAACCAAAATGAATAAATTTCCTGGTTGCTTTTCATTTATCCATAAATAATGGAAAAGGAGTCCAGTGTCCAGTGGAAGCGGTTACTGAATCTGTGCATCTCAGCCCCTTCCATGTTTGCGATCTCACGGTCTGCAGTGTCAAACACTTTTTTTTAAATTTTTTTTAAATCCGTGTGCAGGGTTTTATTTTTTATTTTTTATGTGAGTAGGTGGAATAAATGAACAGCACCAGGCAGTAAAACGTTGCCAAAAAACCAATCCCATATGCTGCATTAAGATATATTTTAATTTTTGTGGCTGAATGGGGGGCAGCTTCCTACACAGTCTGAAATTATGCTTTTCACTGCATGAAAAAAAATCGGAATTTCAAATTCAGAAAATAAATTTTATTAGAATTTTAACAGCTTGTTGGTCAATCTAAACATTCTAAATCTGCTTTATAGAATGCAGTTACATTCACTACTGCTGTGTAACTGCAGCACTTCATTTTTAGGCCTCCTCATTTTCTGTTTTGATGGTTACTTTGTTAATATGAATATCAATAAATACCAAATGGTGGTTACCATGTCCTTTAACCTTTCCAGTCCCAACAACGCCTGCTCCTGCAGATTACGTGGACATCTATTTAGAAACTCCTGCAGATGATAACGAGCACGCACGATTCCAAAAAGCCAAAGAACAGCTCGAGGTTCGACACCGTAACCGCATGGATCGGGTAGGCTTACAGACTTTAAATATGGCTTTAATCCTTCCCCCAGTTTGCACAGCATCTTTTTTAAAATTATTTATTTCTCACCCCAGGTTAAGAAGGAATGGGAAGAGGCTGAGCTGCAAGCTAAAAATCTGCCAAAGGCCGAAAAACAGACGCTCACTCAGGTAAGAGCGCAGTCTGGATCAGAAACGGTGCTGGGTAAACATTAAACTGCGTGTCATCTGATCCTGACACATCGGTTGGACATAGGATAGGCAAGGCCTTGCTTGTTTACTGCACTGTTAAAGGAATGTGTGTGTTCACATATGCTCAGGCTGCAGTCCTTATGGTGTCTTATGCTGATCTATACTGCGCTACTCCTCCACTACCCACTTGAATAGAGTTTACAAAGTGTGGGAGCAAGGAGCTGCCTGAGAAGTATCTGCTTCAACTCGATCTAGAAATTTACCATCTAAACAGCTCCTTGAAAGAAAGTCTTTCGTCATGTTTTATGATACGTGAACTTAAGCCTGCAAAAGTAATTTTTTATTTATTTTTTAATCTAAACTTTAAACTCTTTCTTATTGAGCACTTGTCGTGCAGATAGAACATGCTGTTGCTTTTTAGAGGGCACAGCAGCCGCCTGTATGTCATAGCCAAATTACTACAAAAAGCATAGATACTATTTTATTTTTACCACCTGCTTTCTGCGAAGCTCTATAATCCAAAAGAATGATGCAGAGCATTTACACAACACCAAGCAAATTATCCCACAATGCAGTGGGAACTGTGCACAGCACTGTGGGAGTGCAGACCCAATCTGATTACGTGTTGGTAGTGAAGAGCCATAAATAACCATTGCGCTTACGACCCGTCTGGTCTCCAGCCTGGTGTCTGGTCTCATGTTTTGTACCTAAGATGTGAGTGAATGTTTGCTATCTGGATACCCTGTATAGAACGTGAATCCATGAAATGGCGACCCCTGCTTTGTCAATTACTCATTCCTGTGAACAGGTGTAATTGTTGGATGTTGTAAATACATGAAACTATTATAGTACCCATAATTAAGTGTTCTTGCATAGCAAGACCACTTATTGTTATCTCACATATATATTATTATTCTTATTATAGCCAAATTTGCCACTCTAACTCCTCCCACAGTTTTTACACTACATAGACAAAAATTTACCAAAACGTGCAGATTGTTCCCGATCGGATTGCTATTACTTTGTGGAACGTTTCGCCGAATGGTTCACGGAATATCGTCGTTCTTGTGGCGAAATTTGTCCCATAGGAATGAATGGCAAAGCTAGAGTGGGAGCTGGCAAAAGCTGAAAAATCAGGACATGATTTCTAAACTGCCACCACTCCCTTATTTTCAGGCCCACCTACACAAATCTTATATCAAAACGTTCAGCTATCCCTGCTGCCACTAAACATGTCAACGGCTAAGCCGTAGTCCTGATAGTTTTCACAATATAATCATTTGTTTGCAACTAACACCGTCTATTGACATTCATTGAAACTTCACTCTACAAAGCTCAAATTTGAAGTGCAATTTCTAAACTGCGACTGTGCCTTCATTGTTAATATTCAGAGACATACTATGCATCAAAATGTAGGTCTGGGTCTTGTGATTCTCACAATATAAAGCTCTTCGCTGTAGGAGTTATAGTTTTTAAAATACGACCGTTTGAAGATGGCAACCGCCAAAATACTCTGACCTGTGCAAGGCTGCAGCAGCAAGTGATGTCATAGACAGGGCCTTTTGAACACCTGCTAATGTTTTTATAAATGTATGGTTTAATGTAACTGTGCAACAACGTTGCAATTAAATGTGCTATATAAATAAGTTACTCCAGTTGTAGACTACTGGTGGAGGCAAGAACACTTCACACAATTTCCCCAGAAATTGTAGCTTTTCTAGTAACTATTTGATGTAAATAAATTGCCTTAGCAAGGGACATTGTCTGTCTCTCTCGGTAGCATTTCCATGCCATTATAAAAGCCCTCGAGAAGGAGACTGCGCATGAAAAGCAACAATTGGTGGAGACTCACCTGGAGCGCGTAGAAGCCATGTTGAATGACAAACGCCGCGTGGCACTGGAGAATTATCTTTCTGCACTTCAGGCCAGTCCTCCTCGTGTGAGTAATAATCTGTTTTATTGCTTATATTAAATCAACGTATCATTCTCAATCTATAACAGAAATAGCTGACAAACTGCTATAGCACACGGAAAGATGTTCACTTTTAATTCTGTTCCAAAATCTCGTATACAAAGATAACTAGTAATTATTGTCACTTTGTGCACGGCAGCCACACCGCATCCTGCAGGCCTTGAAACGTTACGTCAGAGCAGAGAATAAAGATAAACTTCACACCGTCCGCCACTACGAGCACGTTCTAGTTGTCGATCCAGAAAAGGCAGCACAGATGAGATCCCAGGTAACAAGTTGCGCCCAACATCCTTATAATTTCACTTTTAACTGAAACAAAGCCCAGTTTAGATCTACCGAAAACTATTTGTTCAGCAGATACAAATGGCTTAAAATAGCTCGGCTTAGCATGTATATAATTTGTATAAATAGTTTTACTACAGCAATGTTGTCTTTGTTTCAAATCTAGAAACATCTCTTCATGAAATATGTCTGTTTGTGATAACTTAAGACCGTTTTAGAAAGACCTTGTGAAGGTCGAAGGACTGACTCCGGCCATCCAGTGGTTTAATGTGGTTTAAGTAAAGAGGTTTAAGACTGCAGGGTAATAGAAAATGTGTTCTTGTTTCAGGTTATGACCCATCTTCATGTGATTGAGGAAAGAATGAATCAGAGCCTTTCTCTGCTTTACAAAATCCCATATGTTGCCGATGAGATTCAGGACGAGATTGGTTGGTATCCGGACGCCTGATATTCTGAAAGTGATTTTGTTTGTTTTGTGATGCACCTATCCACCTTGAGCAACAAAGAAATATGAAAGTGGTTTATTCAAGAACATTCACCTTGCTATCATTTGTTTAAAAGAAACTTGTAAATATACCTTACCTTATATAGAGTAATGCAGTAACCTTTCTATGCAAAACCAGTAAAATAAATTCTAAAAATACTCATTTCTGATGTTTCTGAACATGAAATATCTTTGTTTGGGTTGATAACCCATGTTTTGTAAATCATTCCATGAATTGAGTTATTTAACAATTTTGCTGGCCTTTTCCCATCTAGATGAGCTTTTCCAGGAGCAGAAAGCGGACATGGATCAGTTCACGTCCTCTTTCTCGGAATCGCAGGGAGATGTGAGGGTCAGTGAGGAAGAGAGCGAGGAGGTCTCTCTGAAAGAAGGTAGTCCTTTCCGTCCGTTCCAGGTGAAAACTTTCCCAGCCATTCCAGAGGCCGAAGGTAAGTTAAACGCTTTACCTGAACAGCAGAATCATTACACACGATACAGTGTCCAATGACGTTCTATGGGAACCCAGTCTCACACACACAGAATTGCCTCCATCGAAAATATTTAAGGAGACTCTGTATCTGTCACGTGCCATGTAGTAACACCCAGCATTGCATATTTTTGTTGTTCTATAGCCTTGCTTACTGGAAGTTTATTTATTAATTATATAAATTTTTGTCTACCGAGAATGTATTTTTCTGTTTTAGGAGTTTATTTGATGAATGATTACATTACAGGATCAACAGACTGCTTTCTCTACTAGGCCATTGTCAGAAAGGCCGGTCTGTGACAAAGTCCAGTTTTACTTTAAAAAAAAAAAAAAAAGTATTTTTCAGCTCAATCCGGCTAGTTTGACAATGGCTGTGTGGACATCCATTAACTGGGGCCCTAAAGTGCACACCGTCTAAACATAGACACGGGCCCTCACTGTCTAACAAAAATACCTTTATTTGAACAGAATCTTCTGTTTATTACTATGGTATTCAGTTGAATGCAATGTGTGTGAGATGAAGCTTAATGTTGCCCCCTGTAGGTCACACACTCCTACAGCAGGTAGGAGCCCCAATTGCTGTGGTTTATATAGTGATAAAGCACCAATTGTCTCACTTTCCCCATATTCTGTGCACTACATATGCATATAATGTCCTGTGCCAAACTGTTTCTTTAAACTGTAATTTGTGCTGCACTAACCCAGCTCACAAGCCTGCAATACATTCACAAGGCTTTTTAGTTATTTTTAATCTTTATTTTTCTGCTTTTCTATCTTTTTATTTATTTATTTATTTTTTTTCTTACTCCCGCCACCCCTCCTGTCCTCCTGCACCTCACTCCCTGATACTCCCGCTTAGACACGCAACCGGATTCGTATGCTCCAGTGAGAAAAGGTTGGTTCTGCTCTTGCTGCGTCTCTCTGCTTCTTCGCCACCCCATCCCATCTCTGTTTCTCTTCCTTCAATTTTGTTTTGGGTCAGACGACCATCGTTAATGCCTGATTAGGGCAGCAACTCATTTAATTACGAAAAGCTTTCTGATTCAAAGTTAAAAAGAAAATCTAAAATCGATATCCTTCTGATCTGATCAGACGCCTAATTGCGTCTTTGGAAGACTTATCACCTATGAGTTGCTGGTGTATATTTTGGTGAATGGGATCACTTCCTTTCTCATTGCTTTGGTTTCCGTTATTCTCTAGAATCATTAGCTGGTGTAGGATTTATAGTCCAGGAATTGTTTCTTATGTAAAGTACGGTGCAATCGCATGGGGAAACAGTCCACCTAGACCGACGGACGCGGCCAACAATGACATCATTCCTTCCCCTCCCCCTCCGTTTTAATCATTCATTCGAGCATGGATACTAAAGTTTTTGGCAGCTTCCCTACCTTTTCCTGGGAGGATCCGATTGATTGTGGGATAAACCTCTTCTCAATGGGAATAAAAATGGGATGTATAATTAACGGAGCATAAAACGGCCATTTCTTGTATAGCCGGCTGTTCAGGGATACCAAAGAAGTAAATAAACTAGCGTTTTAGTCGATCGTATGTTGCAGAAATATTAGGGGAGGGGGAGTAGTATTAGAGCTTGTGATATTCCTTATCTAGGGTGAGAAATCTTAGAATACTCTGCTGATGGGTACATGAAAGGCACATGCTGTGGATTTTGAAGCGTGTGTGTATTAAAAAAACACAATAATATACATACATGGAGAGAGAATTTGAGGTTATTTTTAATTTTAAGGAAAAATGAAAATGCTTTACACAGTGTACTTAAAGATTTGGCAAGGAAGGAGTGTTAAGCTATATCAAATGCGGCAAACTTATAAGTAAACACTGATAAAGCCCGCGATTTAATGAATGAAGTCAGAATAAACTAATCCCATGCAATAGTGCAGAACCTCCATGGAGTTCTAAAAAGTGTTCAATGCAGATTTATACATTTCCCATTGAACCGTGCATGCTACTTGTTACTGGGGGTGGACTGTGTGGCGCCAAACTGCCCCAGAATCATTTTCTACTTCTTGATTGACCGTCTAAACAACTCTGCAAGTGAATGGGAGAAGTAAATTATATTTATATCATTGTAATGGATGTTAAACCTTAGTCTAAGGGAAATTCGGTCACACATAATTTAAAGGGTGTTCTACTCTTGCTGGGACTGCAATATTTGAACAGCTCTAATTTGAGTATATTTGGGATTGCCCATGTAAAGCATGGGGAAGCATTTAATCAGGTCTCATCATTTTGCACCTGTAAGAAGTTGGCCGCACATTGTCCTGCTCCAGTCTCACGCCCCATGTGATTGCACTTGTTACATCTCTTCTCCTGCTTTTGGAGCTTTCCCCACCTGACTCACCTTTCTTCTTATCCAGGTTCCGGGATGGCCAATCTTAACACACTGATTGGTGCAGAGGAGAAGCTCATCAACAGCAAGAGCAAAGCTGACCAGAAAGTGGTGAGACATTTCTCTATCCGAAATCTGTCACTCTGACCTAATCTCCGTAGAAAACCAAAACTGGGATTGGACCTTCCAGGATGACTATTGGTTTAGTCCTCAGACGTTTAGATCATATCCACTCCGCTGTGAATTTAATCTGAAGTAGCGAAGCTGGAAAAATAAGAAATGGAGAATGTTTCCAGTTCAAGTATTAGGAGTTTCTGGTTTCGTGAATAAATAATTTGTCTGAAATCTGACTCAAGATTTGGTAATCTCATATTATTCGTAACCAAGCGGTGGTTTGCAAGGCTAAGTTTTGGGAGGGGGTTCTTCTACTGACTGTGCACATGCTACCTCTAGTGTAAAGTTTGGAATCCACCCAGACCTCCACATCACACCTGTTTAATGCTTGTATGTTTGCCAGATTCCTCACTGCTTAACTCAGTCTATTAATGATTATTCTTAGGTTATCGATGAGACCGTGGATGTGAAGGAGATGATTTTCAATGCAGAGAGAGTCCGAGGACTGGTGGATGAACCGGTATGTATGTCAGGAGCAGTCATAAGCCTCATGTCTTTATGGATTCTAACATTTTGCAATCTGGGGGGCAATCTATACCCTCCACTTGATGTGCTGAATTTATAAAAAAAAATGATTCTATTCCCATTAAGGAATCTGAGGGATCCTTGCGCAACGAGTTCAGCTTTAGCAGTGGGACGCTCATTGGATTGCTCGTTATTGCTGTTGCCATAGCTACAATAATTGTGGTTAGCCTTGTCCTGCTGAGGAGAAGGCAATATGGAACCATCAGCCATGGCATCGTGGAGGTGAGACATTGTAGCATTTTATATATAGGATGTGGCTTGATTATGATGCCATTTGCTAAATCTTTAATATAAAGAGTGCATCACATTGAAAAAGGTTTAACGCAAGAAAATGCTTTGTTCAGTGGTGTACCCTCTAGAGAATCGAGGGTTCCCGTTTTTTAAAATGCTTTTAATATATCTTATGTAAGGAGTAATAATGGCAAAGAACAATTAATGTTTTAATAGGGTATGGACTAGTGTCCTGCTAACGTCAGCACTACATCATTGAATTTGACTCCATTGCATTGAATATGTGAAGTAGACTTGTGCAAAGATACGTCTGTCTGTCTGTTCAAATCAAAATAATTCTAATCCACATTAGATTGAATCAATTCACCTGACATTTACCTGTGGTGTCTTATTTATTGAATGAGACTGGTAAATCTCAGAAACTGAACCGACTCAAATTTTTGCACAAGTCTAAGGTAAAGCATTATATTGTAGATTAGGACCTAACCCTTACTTCCATTAACTGTAATCCTGTCTACAATCTGTATGTTCCTTGTTGGAATCTTTCCCATTATTGCTCCTGCTATCCGTAGATCTAAATGACCTCAGGGAAATGTGTTTAAAAGAAAATGGCAAATATAAAAACTAGTAATACTGAGTTTGTTATAGTGGAGGAAAGTGACCGTGGAATAACATGTGTAAAGTACTGTTAATTGTAAAATATAGACTAATACAGTGCTCTAGACGTGGAGTGTAAATGTACAGTAAGGTTTGATATAAAGTGTCTCTTAAAACTTTCCTGATTTTTAATTAAGACGCCTTTTTACTTTGTGGTCCCCAACCCTTACAATATACCAGATTCCGTATCCAAACACATTTTACACCTGCTGTGTGTTTCCTTTGTGCACCTGCTCACCATTAACTCTTGTGTTTTTAGGTGGACCCAATGCTGACCCCCGAGGAGCGTCACCTGAATAAAATGCAGAACCACGGCTATGAAAACCCCACATATAAATACCTCGAGCAGATGCAGATCTGAATGCCACGTTTAATGGGCGGGAAGGGGCGAGGGAGGGTTGGGTTGCACAAGCCCAGGTGGGGTATGTAATGGGTAAAGGGGCCAAAGAAAGGGGAGTTGATTTTGGTTTATCGACTGATCATTCGTTGCATTGAAGAGTGCTAGCCTGTTACTTTAGGCAACTCCTGGACTTTTTAATAATCCCTTCTGAGATTCATTTTTCATTTAAACGGGTGACAGAATAGAGAGTAAAACGAATCATTCAAGAGATTTTATTGCTGATCTTTTTAAGATGTAGTTATTTGTTTTTTGGTTTTGCTTTTTATTTTATTTTTTATCAAAAAGATTAAATTCCAATCACTTATGTGTGTCCTACAAATAATATAAATATATATAAAAATATATATAAATGGAAAAATGTTAATTTCTGTTTTGAGTTTCTGGTAGAATGCTTGTTTATGCTGCATCTTCATAGTTTACTAGCTTATTTAAAGATGAAAAAGAAGCAAAGAGGAATATTAGGGCTTTTTGGGGAGGGGGTTTCAATCAATACAGGTTTAATTAGGTTGAAGTCTTAATACCGAAGAGACGAAGCACCTGACCTGTTAGGGTTTGGGCAGCTGTTCCACTTGCTTCTCAGACGTTAAGGTTCATAAACCGCTTATGTGTACTACTGATCTTGTTCTAGGTATTTACCTGCTTGGGCTGGTGTATTCATTTTTTATTTTATTTTACGGTGATCCTCTACCTTCCCCCCAAGCTTGGTAGAGCCCGTGTAGTCTTGTTCTTGATCTCAATATCTGTCAATTTGCCATAGTGCCCATATTATTCCAGAACCCGAATCATTCCAAAAGGATAGTTTTTTGTTTTTTTCAGCATTGCCAAATAGGTACTGTAACTGTTTAGGAAGCCCCTTCCATCACATATTGGTACCAAGAACAAGACCATTGATAGCATCATTGCATGACCACGAAGCACAACCTGGCAGCTTTCCACCTGTGTGGCGTTCGTAGCCACAGCCATTTAACAAATCACTGTGTGGCAGAGAGCAATTGGTGAACGCCGCCCCTGTGTATAATCCTGAAAACATGGGGTGTCCTATCTCTTAGATGAATCGAGATTGTCTGCAGATCCCCCACCCTGTCTGTATCGCTTGTAAATTTGTTAGCCGTCACTGCATCATCAGATTTCAGTTATTTTCTCAATATTAAGGTTCTGGTAACCTGTGGTGTGTCTTTCGAGGTTTTCCTTTTTATTATTATTGCTTCTCCTTCCACTATACTGTGATGTTTTCATAATTATATATTTTTATTTCTTTGTTTTAACCTTTATAATTTCTCTCGCACTATGCACAGATTTGACCTTGACCTGCGAAATCCTTTTGTGTGTTCTGTGGGCAATGTAAAAATTGGAAAACACATTAATAAACACTCTAACTTCCATAGAAGACATGTCTCCGAACTTTTCTTCCACTTTATTTGGGTGTATATGTATTTTAATTGGATTTATTTTAGTGCAATATAACTTTACTTTGAAGTAACCACTCACCTAGGCCAGCCAATATTTGTGTGTAGTGTGTTCTCCTCCACTACAATGGTAGATCAACAAACCAGCACCCTTAGCAGGAACATCGGAAACTCTTAATTCCGATATTTCCATTCAAATATTAATTTCATTGATCCATTATTAATAAAAAGCTGAAGAGGAAGCAGGAAGAGTACAGGGTGGAAGGAAAACAGTCCCTGAGGCATGTCACAACTAAGGGCACTAATCCTAAATCACAAATAAGGATAATTATTCTTTATTCAGAAATGTGATTCAAGTGAAGAGCTGGTAAATAATTCTAGAGAACTAGAGTCCTTCAGTAGCTAAGAACAAATAACCCATTCAGGTGATGGCAACTTAATGTCTGAGCAGAATGGAAACACAGTCCATGATTACCTACCATTTTGTTCTAATCTGAGATCCTTGTATTCTGCATTTTCCCCTGGGGTTAAATACCTGTCCCTGTGGATAGAGTGCACAAAGTCATAATTATCCACTGACTAATTAGACAAAGTACATTATATTTATTATACGGCGCCAACACATTCCGCAGAGCTGTACAATGGATGTACTAACAGACAAGCATTCCTAACAAGACAAGCTGGACGCACAGGAACAGAGGGTGTTGAGGGCTCTGCTCAAACAAGCTCACATTCTATCTAGAGGGAGTTGAGGAAAGTGGCACAAGAGGGAAGAGTATGATGTATTTCATGTAAAGTAACAGGTTGATAGAGGAATTTATACCTTTTTATTTCTAGATTGTAAGCACTTTTGTGCAGGGTCCCCAAAAACCTATTGTCTTTGTAACCTTTTGAAATTCTCATTCATTGTTAAATTTCCCCCTTATAATTGAAAGAAATATGTTGCCATTATATCCTTTAGTTTTTTTTGAGTGACAGTTGCAAGAGAGAAAGCTGGGTGGGTTACTAAGGTGCCGGGGGAGAAAGCTATGAACAGTTTAATTTATATGCTATCCTGAATAATTGAGATCAATTTAATGTTTTTAAAAATGTTTAAAGGAAGACTGGAGAGAGTCTACTGGAGCAGGGAAGGGAGTTCCATAGAATTGGTAAAACCTTAGAAAAGTCTTAAAGGTGGCCATTAGGTGCGAGTGCCAACAGAGAATAGATGCAGGTCTTTGGCAACATGTAGTGGTCAGGATGGGACATGCTGTGTGTTAGTGAGGTAGGAGCAGCATTATGTAGAGATTTATACCAGTATTTCTACATTAGAAAAACATAAAAACCTCTTGTATATGGCCATGTACTCACTGCATTTATATAGACAGTCTCTGGGACCGTGTTCCGTAATGTAGGATATGCATTGAGCCATAGACCTATACATTCTGCTCAGGTAGTGTGTGGGGAGCTGCAGTGAGCGTGCTACTCAGGTAGTGTGGGTTATAGGAGGTGTGGGGAGCTGCAGTAAGCGTGCTGCTCAGGTAGTGTGGGTTATAGGAGGTGTGGGAGCTGCAGTGAGAGTGCTGCTCAGGTAGTGTGTGTTATAGGAGGTGTGGGGAGCTGCAGTGAGCGTGCTACTCAGGTAGTGTGGGTTATAGGAGGTGTGGGGAGCTGCAGTGAGTGTGCTGCTCAGGTAGTGTGGGTTATAGGAGGTGTGGGGAGCTGCAGTGAGCGTGCTGCTCAGGTAGTGTGGGTTATAGGAGGTGTGGGGAGCTGCAGTGAGTGTGCTGCTCAGGTAGTGTGGGTTATAGGAGGTGTGGGGAGCTGCAGTGAGTGTGCTGCTCAGGTAGTGTGGGTTAGTGAGTGCTGCTCAGGTAGTGGGGGAGCTGCAGTGAGTGCTGCTCAGGTAGTGCTGGGGAGCTGCAGTGAGTGCTGCTCAGTAGTGCGGGAGCTGCAGTGAGTGCTGCTCAGGTAGTGTGGGGCTGCAGTGAGTGCTGCTCAGGTAGTGCGAGGAGCTGCAGTGAGTGCTGCTCAGGTAGTATAGGAGGTGTGGGGAGCTGCAGTGAGCTGCTCAGGTAGTGTGGGTTATAGGAGGTGTGGGAGCTGCAGTGAGTGTGCTGCTCAGGTAGTGTGGGTTATAGGAGGTGTGGGGAGCTGCAGTGAGTGTGCTGCTCAGGTAGTGTGGATTATAGGAGGTGTGGGGAGCTGCAGTAAGCGTGCTGCTCAGGTAATGTGGGTTATAGGAGGTGTGGGGAGCTGCAGGTAGTGTGTGTTATAGGAGGTGTGGGGAGCTGTAGTGGGTGTGCTGCTCAGGTAGTGTGGGTTATAGGAGGTGTGGGGAGCTGCAGTAAGCGTGCTGCTCAGGTAATGTGGGTTATAGGAGGTGTGGGGAGCTGCAGTAAGCGTGCTGCTCAGGTAATGTGGGTTATAGGAGGTGTGGGGAGCTGCAGTAAGCGTGCTACTCAGGTAGTGTTTGTGAAAGGTGTGGAGAGCTGGTGTGTGTAATTTTGGGGGGATTCTGCACATCCCCTTTGGCTCACCACCCCTAATTCTTCATAGAATAAATAATCAGTTAACCCTTTAATGACTGAAACGCAAGGATTGCTTTATCACATGCTTTGTTCCGGCTTCAGCAGTGATAGGATTTTTAGGTGGCATGTGGACATTCAACACCGATGGCTACGCTGGACAAGCCATGTCCCTCCAAATGTTTCATCACAACATGGTCAGGTGAAAAATGGGCGGAGAGCAACACCTCGAAGTAGATCATGGGGAGGGAGGAACCACCGTAACGAAAACATTGAGTTAATACAGAATGGGCAATTCATATGGATGATAAAGCAAGTGTAAACATTAGATGACTCTATACAGGAAGTGTTTTAGAAAAGCTCAGTCACAAGCAAGGAGGTGTGACCAGGGCTGTATAAATAGTGATTTAAAGGATCACTATAGGGTCAGGAACACAAACATGTATTCCTGACACTATAGTGCTAAACTTCCATTTAGGTGGCTTGCCCCTCCCCGCCCCCCGTTAGCCTGCCTATAAAAGTTTAAAACTCACATTGGCTCCGCCCCCTTTGTGACATCATCAAAATGGCCAATGCATTCCCATAGGAAAAATAGGGAAATCATTGGATTGGCATGTGGCCAAATGCTGTTTTGGCCAGTCAGGACCTCCTCATAGAGATGCATTGAATCAAAGCATCTCTATGAGGAAAATTCATAGTCTCCATGCAGAGCGTGGGGATGCTGAATGACAGGGCTGCTTACTGCGCAGCACTGACCCAGGAAACCTCTCCAGTGGCCACTGGAGGTGTCCCTGAAAAGGCAGTGTTTACATGAAAATGCCTAAAGGGAGCTATTATACTCACCAGAATAACTACATTAAGCTGTTGTTGTTCTGGTGACTATAGTGTCCCTTTAACCTCTAAAAGGCAGTGAGACTACAGTGGCACGATCTATACACCAAAACGACTTCAATGGGACTGATATTATCCACTCGAAGGAAAGGAAACAAGTAAGAAAGCGTGTCAAAGGATGAAGGGGCTAATTTCTTAAGGACTGAGGCAAAACCAATTCTTTAATTTGATTATATGCCTCTTCAACCACCATAATCCACCATTTTCACATTAACCCCTTCAGGACTGAGTCAATAGTGCATGTTCTTATCAAAACAAAACGTAAACAAAAACTGCGCTATATGTCTGTTCAACCATAATTCACTGCTGTCACATTAAGTGCACCCACACTTATTATATATCATTTTGTTCAGGAGAAACATGGCTTTAATTTATCATTAACTATTCATATATGGAAAATAATTTATGAATAAAATTTAAAAAAATGTGAATGAGTTTACATTTGTATTTCTGTCTGACGTTTTAGCTGTGAATGTCATAATACTGTTAGGTTTTACAGCAAAAAAATGCACATATTTATAATAGGCGATATCTCACAAGTACAACAGTACCCCCCATTAACAGGTTTTATGGTGTTTTGGAAAGTTACAGGGTCAAATATAGAACGTTCCATTTTCAAATAGAAATTTGCCAGATTAGTAATGTTACCTTTGAGACGGTGTGGTAGCCCAGGAATGAGAATTACCCCCATAATGGCATACCATTTGAAAAAGTAGACAACCCAAGGTATTGAAAGTGGAGTATGTTTAGTCTTTTTTAGTAGCCACTTAGTCACAAACACTGGCCAAAGTTAGCGTTCATATTTGGCCAGTGTTTGTGACTAAGTGGCTACTAAGAAAGACTGGACATACCCCATTTGCAATACCTTGGGTTGTCTACTTTTGCAAATGGTATGCCATCATGGGAGTAATTCTTATTCCTGGGCTACTATACGGTCTCAAAGGCAACATAACCAATCTGGCAAATTTAAATGTCAACAAAATGAAATGCAAGCCTTATATGTGACTCTCTAACTTTCCAAAACACCATAAAACCTGTACATGGGGGGTACTGTTATTCTCGGGAGACTTCACTAAACACAAATATTAGTGTTTTAAAACAGTAAAACATATTACAACAATAATATAGTCCATAAAAGTGCAGTTCGTTTGTAAAAAAAAAGCAAAAAACGTCACTTTTACTTAAAATATCATCGTTTGAGTACACTTTACCAGTTTGAAACACTAATATTTGAGTTCAGCGAAGTCTCCCGAGTAAAACAGTACCCCCTTTGTACAGGTTTTTTGGTGTTTTGGAGAGTTACAGGGTCAAATATAGTGCTTGCGAATTAAATTCTCAGCACTTTCTCCTTCTGTTGTCAGGCATATTAATCAAATCACATAAGTATGTTAAAAGATTACTTAAATATACACATAGAATTTTTATATATATGCATTTATAGGTATTTAAATTCTCTGTGTATACTTATTTAATCTTTTATGTAATTATATATATATATATATAATATGCGGTTATTTGTATTTTATATATAGATATATATAGAATGTCATTCTAAGTATTTTGTTACCAATATATATATATATATATTAATAACAAAATACAGTTAGAATGAAATTACATATGAATATATAATTTATTTTAAATTTTGTTTCAATATTTTATTTATTTATTTTTATTGATTTATTATTTTAATTATACGTGTATATATATATATATATATATATATATAATATGTATATATCTGTTTATATATATATATAATATATATTCATATTATATATATATATGTAACGTGATTCTAAGTGTATTTTAATACTAATATGTAGTATTACGTATGACGTTACATATATAAAATATGTATATATTATATGTGTAAGATATATACATATATATTTAATTTATTTTAAAACATTTAATTTTTCTTTTTTTCATTTCCAACCAGCAGGGGGACTGTCTGATGTTTCAGACAGTCCCCCGGCTGGCAGATCCACAGCCAGCTATAGGGGGCCTCATTTGCTGTGGGAGGGCTGCCTGGGCTGTGAGGCAGTCCTCCCGAAGCGGAGCGCCGGTAAGGTGAGTATACCTGGTGCTCCAGGGCTCAAAGCCGTTACGGCGTTCTATGCCGCCACAACGGCTTTAAAGCCCACTTAATGCGGGACGGCATAGAATGCCGTAACGGTGTTAAGGGGTTAAGTGCACCCACACTTATATACACTGCTAAAAAAATAAAGGGAACACAAAAATAACACATCCTAGATCTGAATGAATTAAATATTCTTCTGAAATACTTTGTTCTTTACATAGTTGAATGTGCTGACAACAAAATCACACAAAAATTAAAAAATGGAAATCAAATCTTTCAACCCGTGGAGGTCTGGATTTGGAGTCACACTCAAAGTTAAAGTGGCAAAACACACTACAGGCTGATCCAACTTTGATGTAATGTCCTTAAAACAAGTCAAAATGAGGCTCAGTAGTGTGTGTGTGGCCTCCACGTGCCTGTATGACCTTCTTACAACAACGCCTGTGCATGCTCCTGATGAGGTGACGAGTGGTCTCCTGAGGGATCTCCTCCCAGACCTGGACTAAAGCATCTGCCAACTCCTGGACAGTCTGTGGTGCAACGTGAGGGTGGATGGAGCGAGACATGATGTGCTCAATTGGATTCAGGTCTGGGGAACGGTTGGGTCAGTCCATAGCATCAATTCCTTCGTCTTGCAGGAACTGCTGACACACTCCAGCCACATGAGGTCTAGCATTGTCTTGCATTAGGAGGAAGCCAGGGCCAACCGCACCAGCATATGGTCTCACAAGGGGTCTGAGGATCTCATCTCAGTACCTAATGGCAGTCAGGCTACCTCTGGCGAGCACATGGAGGGCTGTGCGGCCCCCCAAAGAAATGCCACCCCACACCATTACTGACCCACTGCCAAACCGGTCATGCTGGAGGATGTTGCAGGCAGCAGAATGTTCTCCACGGCGTCTCCAGACTGTCACGTCTGCTCAGTGTGAACCTGCTTTCATCTGTGAAGAGCACAGGGCGCCAGTGGCGAATTTGCCAATCTTGGTGTTCTCTGGCAAATGCCAAACGTCCTTCAGAGTGTTGGGCTGTAAGCACAACCCCCACCTGTGGACGTCGGGTCCTCATACCACCCTCATGGAGTCTGTTTCTGACCGTTTGAGCAGACACATGCATATTTGTGGCCTGCTGGAGGTCATTTTGCAGGGCTCTGGCAGTGCTCCTCCTGTTCCTCCTTGCACAAAGACAGAGGTAGCGGTCCTGCTGCTGGGATGTTGCCCTCCTACGGCCTCCTCCACGTCTCCTGATGTACTGGCCTGTCTCCTGGTAGCGCCTCCATGCTCTGGACACTACGCTGACAGACACAGCAAACCTTCTTGCCACAGCTCGCATTGATGTGGCATCCTGGATGAGCTGCATTACCTGAGCCATTTGTGTGGGTTGTAGACTCCGTCTCATGCTACCACTAGAGTGAAAGCACCGCCAGCATTCAAAAGTGACCAAAACATCAGCCAGGAAGTATAGGAACTGAGAAGTGGTCTGTGGTCACCACCTGCAGAACCACTCCTTTATTGGCGGTGTCTTGCTAATTGCCTATAATTTCCACCTGTTGTCTATCCCATTTGCACAACAGCATGTGAAATTGATTGTCACTCAGTGTTGCTTCCTAAGTGGACAGTTTGATTTCACAGAAGTGTGATTGACTTGGAGTTACATTGTGTTGTTTAAGTGTTCCCTTTATTTTTTTTGAGCAGTGTATAATTTTGTTCAGGAGAAACAGAATTTTCATTTCACATCAAATATTCATGTATGAAACCCAATTTTATATGAATAAAATCTACAAAACGTGAGGAATACAAAAATAAAATTAAAAATAATGTCTTCTTAGTTCTGCATGGCACGTTAACTGTGAATGTCATAATACTATTTGCTTTATTTTTTTAAAATTCTTTATTTATTCCAAGACACGACATCATAAAACGATGCATTTACATCAAGATAAGGTTATGCATAAACAGGCATGTAAACTGTGTCTTACTGAGTTTACATTTCAGCAGTTCTCTTCCGTTTGTATATTTAGATATCCTGCCTGGTTTTATATAGTATTTAAAACAATTAACAGATAACACATAATATGTAAAATAATGTATGCCGACCGCTCTCATGTTTGAATACGTATGTATACTCAAAAGAGAGATAAAAAAGGGGAGGGGGGGGAATATGTCTAAGCGTAATATACAATCGTATGTTTGCTCACGAGTCTGTTTTCTCGCGCATGTATTCCCTCCTTGTACGGTCGGAAGATAAGACTCCGGAAAAAAGCTGAGTAAGAAAAAAGAAGATAATAGGAGTACCTCTAAGAATCGAGGTTGCAGAGAAGAAAGGGTGAGGGTAGAAGGGGGGATGAGGGGGGGGCAAGTATGACTTCTCAACAGAAAGAAGGCATCCCAAGGGATATGCTTTTCCTCTTGCCCTGTCCCCGTCGGGAGTCTACCAGAGGCCCTCCCTGCTACCCGAACTAAGTAAATCGGTGTACCTCTTCTCTCAAATGTCACGTGCTGTATTTTGAATAGTTTAGTCAGCTTTTCTCTAATCGCTTACAGCGCTATTTATCCATGGGCTCCAAATCTTGTCAAATTTCTTCATTGTTCCCCTGACCTGTGCTGTCAGCTTGTCCATTAGGTAGGTATCTTTTATTTTTTGTTTTACTATAGTCAGTGTTGGGGTCTCCCTCCGTAGCCACACCTGTGCTAGGGCTCTTCTAGCTGCAAGATTTATTTTTTGTATAAGGTTTTGCTCCGTTCTCGTCCAGCCATCCATTGTTCTGGACAAAAGAAACACCCATGGGTCAGGTTTCACCTCCCTATCAAAGACATCTCGCTGCAAAGCAGCAATCCGCTTCCAATAGGTTTGTACTTCCCGGCATTCCCCTCACATGTGTATATACGAGCCCTTGCAGCCGCAGCACCTCCAACATAGGTCCGTCGGGTTTTTACACATTCTGTATCGCGCCACTGGAGTGGTGTACCACCGAAATAAAGTCTTATAGGACTGTTCCTGCAATGAGACACACACCGAAGAGGATGCAGCAGCCTCCCACATTTCCTGCCATTCTATGCCCTCCAGAACCTCGTTGAGATCTGCTTCCCACTGATTAGTATATGTGATGCCACCCCATTCTAGCGTGTGAGTCACTTGGATAGGAAGAGCTTGAAATAGAAATAGTATCCTATTCACGAGATTGGTTTATCTACCCACTTCTCCATGTCGTCTATTAGATGTCGAATTAGCGGAGTGTAATTTTGCAGGTAAAGTTGGGAGGGATCTGCCGTCAGCCATATACCTAAGTATTTAATATGGTACTTCGCTTTGCGTATGTGGTAGGCCCTCCCTATATACGCTGCTTCCTCGTCCCCCATGCGCGCTTGATTTGTGTAGGTTGACTTTATAGCCAGCCACCTCGCCATATTCCGACAGAATCCCAGTCAGAGCTTCCATGGAGACCCTCGGATCCGTTAGTGTCAACAATATGTCATCAGCGAAACCTGAGATAACATATTGTTTGCCTCCCACGGTAACACCCTTGACCTCTGAGGATTCGCGTATTGTTTGCATGAGGGGCTCCAGTGAGAGAACGAACAGTAGAGGTGAAAGAGGGCACCCCTGTCTCGTGCCGTTGCTAAGCTGGAATGGGATAGTTCGAGCTCCCGAGATCTGGATCTGCCCCCTGACATTTGAGTACAAGGCCTGAACAGCCTTTACAAACTGGGCCGGCATGCTCTGTCAAATGCTTTTTCGGCATCCAGCGACAGCATCAGTGTCGGTATGCCCTTTGTGGCCTGTCTACCAATAAGTGTAATGTTTCGTCTAGTGTTTTCGAATAGTTGCCTCCCAGGTATAAAGCCCACTTGATCTTGGTGAATCAGGCCTGTAAGGATCTGATTTAGCCTGCCTGCCAATACTTTTGCTAAAATTTTGGAATCGTGATTAATTAAGGATATCGGGCGGAAATTCTCCGGGATTGAATCGTCTTTGCCTGGTTTAGGTAATAAAACTATGTTTTCAAAGGACATGTCTTTATCTGGTGTCCCCCCATCCATAAGATCGTTGAACCAGGGTTCTAAGTGAGGCACAAGCTCCTCTCGGAAGGTTTTATAATAGCTACCATCGAAGCCGTCCGGCCCGGGTGCTTTATTGATTTTCAAGGCGGATATTGCCGCATCTATCTCTTCGACTGTGACAGTACTCTCCAAGGCCGCTGAAGCCACTACGTCCAGCTTGGGAAGGTGTAGCCGAGACAGGAACGCTCGTATCCTGTCCACTCCCTGTCCTGGGTCCCTTGAACCACCTATCGAATGGTTATAAAGTTTGGTATAGTAGTCCGTGAACACCTTGGCTATCTCTGTGGGATCGGTTTTTCATAAAAGGTGCGTTTTGACCACACTAAAGCTCTCGCAGTGTCATCTAAGAGTAATTCCCGGATAGAATTCCTCACGTTCTGCACCGTCGTTAAATTGGTAGGTGTGGGATCCGATTTGTGCCATTGTTCCACCTTTCTCAAGGCTTCTAATAAGGTCGTCAATAGTTGGGACTTACATCTTTTCTTCAATGTTGCTTCTCTGATCAATATGCCCCTTATAACCGACTTATGCGCTGCCCAAACTGTAGCTTTCGATACCCCTGAGTCCACCTCCCTGACAAAGTACTCATTGATTTCTTTGCGGATAGTCTCCACTATTGCTGGATCTTGTGGCAGGGATCTATTTAGCTTCCAGGACCAAGGAGATGCCGCGCTCAGCTTATCCAAAGTAAGGGAGACGTCTGCGTGGTCTGACCATGTTATGGATCCCACCATAGATTCTGCGACCTTGGGAACAGTTAGGGGGTTCACCAGGAAAAAGTCTATTCTTGAATATGTATCATGTGGCGGCGAATAGAACGTGTAGTTGCTATCGTCTGGATGTTGGGCCCTCCATATATCTAGCAAACCTGCTTGTTGTATGAAGGTATGCAATAATTTGTCTTGGCTGCCTCGCCTGGCCCCTATCCATTGCCGGGGATGGAGCTGCGTTGAAATCCCCCCCTACTATGGTCATTCCATGTGGTAGCGTATTTACTATGTGGGTCAGCTCTATCCAGAATTCTCTGGAAGGGTCGTTAGGGGTGTATAAATTGATGATATGAATGGCTTAGGAATGCAAGGTTCCCGACACTAGAACGTAGCGTCCCCCCGGGTCTGCTTTAACCTTGCTTACCCTTAGCGGACATCTGTGGTGTATGAGGATAGCGACTCCATTCCTCTTATTGAGGGCCCTAGCTTCGTAAGAAAGCCTGCAGGAAGGCTATGTCGGGGTTCATGAGTTTTAGTTCCCTAAACATGAGCCGTCTCTTTTTGGGGGCGTTTAGGCCTTTGACGTTAAAGGACCACTATAGTACCAGGAAAACATACTCGTTTTCCTGGCACTATAGTGCCCTGAAGGTGCCCCCACCCTTAGGGTCCCCCTCCCGCCCGCCTCTGGAAAGGGGAAAAGGGGTTAAACTTACCTTTTTCCAGGGCTGGGCAGAGAACTCTCCTCCTCCGATCCTCCTCTTCTCCTCCCCGTCGGCTGAATGCGCACGCGCGGCAAGAGCTGCGCGCGCATTCAGCCGGTCACATAGGAAAGCATTCATAATGCTTTCCTATGGACGCTGCGTGCTCTCACTGTGAAAATCACAGTGAGAAGCACGCAAGCGCCTCTAGTGGCTGTCAATGAGACAGCCACTAGAGGGAATGGGGGAAGGCTTAACCCATTGATAAACATAGCAGTTTTTCTGAAACTGCTATGTTTATGAAAAAATGGGTTAACCCTAGCTGGACCTGGCACCCAGACCACTTCATTAAGCTGAAGTGGTCTGGGTGCCTAGAGTGGTCCTTTAATGGATAATAATTTTACAGGCATGGTATATCCTGTAGGGTGTCTCTATATTTAAACATTCTGTCATGTCTATCTGTAGTCAGAGTGCTCAGAGCACTTCCCATCTCCCCCCCCCAGAGGAGATAAGGTTAGGATGAGGATAAGAGGGAGAAAAGATAAAAAAGGTAGAAAGAAAAACTAAACCAAACATTTTGAACGAAAATCGCCTGGGCTTATCTATAGCCAGGCATGGTTGGGGTATGCGTCCCATCTCCCCCAGAATGTAAAAAGAGCCCTGGGACGTCAGGGACATGGACCAGCCAATAAGGGCACTGCTTGAGTGCCAACTGAAACTTTATAAATAATAAAAAAAAAAAAAAACACACCGTATTCTAGGTTTAGGAGCCCACTATGCGTGGCGTCCAGGGCGACTATGCAGGGTGTAACGGTTCATATATCGTACTAGCAGATGATACGCTAATGTGGGCAAGTCGCCATGTACATCCATATCTCACTCTATTCTCGTTTTCATTTGACCGCAAAACCTTCCGCTCCTTGGATCCCCCAAAAATGTATCCACTCCTCTTCCTCCCTCCCCCTCTCTTTTTTTCCCCCCATTTTGTTTTTTGTCTGTAGATGCGCACAGCCATAAAGACCCCTGTGCATGTGCATAGACGCACCCTCCCAGACATCAATAATACTGAAAAAGTAGTAGGCCTGCCACGTGGCAACGTAAGGTCATGAGAAGCATTATTGTGGACTGTCACTTAAA